TGGTCTCAACAGGCGGCACAAGCCTTCGAGAGGACATTATGCGTTTGTACAATGAGGTCCATGTAGTGGTGGCTACCCCAGGTCGTGTTCTCGACCTTGCCAACAAGAATGTGTGCAACTTGAAGGAGTGCCACATGGTTGCCATGGATGAGGCTGACAAGCTTCTCTGCCCCAAGCTCCAGCCTTTGATTGAGGACCTCATCAAGTTCTTGCCTCAAGAGAGGCAAATCCTGATGTACTCGGCCACGTTCCCGATGACCATCTTGGACTTCAAGAACCGATTTATGGCCAAGGCGCATGAGATCAATTTGATGGATGCACCTACAGCTGAGGGTGTGGTGCACTGTTGCGCATTTGTTGAAGAGAGGCAGAAGGTTCACTGCCTCAACACCTTATTTGCCAAGTTGCAGATTAATCAGGCAATCATTTTCTGCAACTCCGTGACGCGCGTGGAGTTGCTTGCCAAGAAAATTACAGAGCTTGGCTTCTCATGCTTCTTCATCCATTCGCGCATGTACCAGTCTCACCGGAATCGTGTTTTCCATGACTTCCGGAACGGAGGTTGCAAGTGTTTGGTCTCTTCAGACCTTTTTACCAGAGGGATTGACATCCAGAGCGTGAACGTGGTGATCAATTTCGATTTCCCCAAGAACTCCGAGACCTACCTGCACCGCATTGGCCGAACTGGCCGCTTCGCTGACCCAGGCCTGGGCATCAGCTTTGCGACGGAAGATGACCGCAACAGTCTGGACAGCATAGGAGTTGGGAACAAACATGCATGTTTGTTCCCAACTCCTATGCTGTCCAGACTGTTGCGGTCATCAAGGCCTGGGCTTTCTGGGCGACAGTTGTGGAAGCATATTGTGATTCGGTTCTGTGTTCTAGCCAGGCAGAATGGTTGGTGAGTTCCAGCCAGGCAGGATGAAATCCCAAGACCTGAGTTTCGGTTCGGTGTTGCCTGTCTTGGGGTTGGAGGACAAAATCTTGCACGAGCTGGGACAAGTGAAGCCGTTTGAATGTTGGGTTAAACATGGATACACTTTTTTTCCAACTGTATGTCCATCCACGGTATCACCTAACCCTACTTGGTTGCAATAGTACCGTTTTTGTTTCAGGGTACAACTTCAAGCATCGACCAGGATCACGCGGTTGAGTGATTTTAGCCCACCAGTTTTGATGCCACATGATCCATTAGAAATCCCAACTGGTTAGGCTGGGGATTATCATACTCCGATTGGGAAAAATGACCCAATATAATGTCCGACAAGAACTACCTTTCTTCCCTCGATGGTGCGGACCCATGCAAGCAGCAATTTGGCATTCCCAACGGATGTCAGGACCTCAGTCACGACCTCAGTTTCGACCTCAGTTGAACTTGCAACAGTCGGGAGCCTATTTAATGAATCCATCGACAAGTCACAACTTACAACCTCCAACGGGTATCCAGCCCCATCCACGATTTCCACCAGCACCTCCAGCATCTCCTCCACCTACACTGCCATATCCAATTCCACCTCGCTTGGCTTCTCCACCTTGCTCACCGACGTTGCCTTGCCCACCGACTCACAAGCAGCTTCTCCGAGCACCCCATCCATCCCATCGTCCCAACCTCGCCATGCTGGCACTCCACACATGACCTCACCAGGAGGTCAAACCACCACTGACGAAGTCCGGACATATGGCTTTGATCTCAACCCTCATTGGCAAGAGGATCAAGATCACTTTGACAACCAGAAGATCAACGGCTTGACGTTTCCAAGGACCATCCGTCCATCTGCTTTCACACAAAAGTTGGACATTGAAGGGTGTGATCCTTTGAAACTTCCGGTGGCAGCCTTGTTGTACCAGCAGGCGAACAACTTTTGGCGCAAAGATGGTTGCCCTTCACCATGCCATTTACCAGGGTCTTTCCCTTGCGGTCGTACATGCCACAGAAGCCGTGCACAGCTGATTAAGGACATGTTTCTATTAGAAACAATTCCGGTCTAAACAGAGTTTTGCATCATTAAGACATATAACGACATCACAAAAACAACCCCGACACTGGCTTGATCTTCAAAAGTCTATTCGCAAAAGGTCCAAAAGGTCTGTGCATCACGTGCTTTTTTTTGCTTTCGATCAGCCTAGCAATAAAAAACACGTATGTAAACTAACATAGCTATTGAAAATAACCATTTTTGATGGGTAAATCCACTATAAATGGCCATTTTCAATAGCTATGTTAGTTTACCGGAGGGTATAAACAAAAACAAACCCAACATTGGCTTCTATCAGGCTCCGGCAGAAGGTAGCGTCTGGTGTGGCGCATAGCTTGTCGCACTGGAGCTTACTTAAGAAGGATGGCGTTTGGCAGCCTGACCAACCCCTAGCATTTTACATGTCAACGATCGAATGTTGTTGTTTTAGGATGAACCCACTTACAACTATGGCAACTATGGATTCAAGACTGCATTCAACTGTTTTTCAGCTTTACCTAAGTCACAAAAAAATGATTAGAAACCCATGTTTCAGCCGATAGACAGAAACAAAACTGGGCCATGTAGAGGCAATGGCTTAAACATGGCCATGTTTCGGTGCCATGCTGGCGCTTCTGGCTGTGGGAATCCTGGCGCTGGAGTCTTGGCATGACTGGATGTACCCTCTGGTTATGACTAACAGGGCTAGCCATGGTATAGATGGCCCATAGAAATAGATGGTTTACCTATTAATAGCATGGTGATTTTCCATGGCAAACTGTTAAATAACCAGAGGGTATCTATTTAATATCTTTGTAGTGAGTAAGGCATGGTAAACGCAATGCCAAAAACCATCCCCAATGTTGATGAAATTGGCTATACCGATATACTCTTTTTGAACCCAAAGAATGAGGTCTGGAGGATGATTCTCCGCCCTTCAACATGGCAATTTTTTGGGGGTCCATGTGCAATTTAGGTGGTGTGAGGGTGATCTGCATCCTGGATGGATAGGTGCTTTTATATTTTGCACTTGAAATCTCGGAATATAGACATTGTTATGAACCATGTGCTAACTTGCATGCACGTGAACAATCATGGTCTTGCATGCAAGTCTTGTATCAAGGCCAAATTGACTTGCAAATTCAACCCCATACACCTTGACAACCGGGAAATGTGAGTGGCTGACCGAGCTGCAACTGTAAACTCACCGGCAGAACTGGGACGCCTCGTGGTGTTGGGAGACAGAACTTTCGTTTGTGAGTTTAGATTTTCATTGGCCAATGATCGGTTGGGTTCGGTTAGGATCCTCCATTTTTATGTTTTGCCATGTTGTCAGTGAAAACAATCGTGGAACCCTTTTTAGTGACTACGCCACCTTAATCCCATCCCCACTGTTGAAGACCAGAAAGCCTGATTTTCTTCGGCTTTTGTGGGTTTATAAGTCCAATGTCACGTGTTGGTTTTTGTCGGTGATTAATATCGAACTAGTTTTCATGGGATTTGTTTAGCCATTTATAACTTGGGGGGGCACCACCTTGTGGGACCCTGGGACCCTGGGTGTGATGACTGGGATGACCGGGCCACGAAGGATCTGGTGTTGGGTCGAAAGTTGCAGGGCGACGTGATACTTGGACCCGGGGCCTGCCCGGGGCCCGGGGGAGGCTAACGTAGCCTTTGCAAGTTATGTTTAGTAGTTTCATTCTTTCACAATCAGGGGTGATATTTATATATACTGTCTATATATACAGTATATATACATATTCACATATATATATATTATATTATATATCTATATCTATATATATATATATATGTCAAATAGCCTAACCATTTTTTTACAGATCCAAAGAGTAGCCAGTTTTTTTTTCCCGAAACACCGCATTCTTTTCAGCTCCCATCTCTCCAAGGCGGAGGTCATTCCCTGAGGCCCCGCAAGTCATTCTTCACCAAGCATGCCCATTTAGGTCACCTGCTCTTTTATGAAATCTGCCCAGTGTTTTTTTCTGGATTTGTCTGAAAAAGGTGTACCCCCCAAAAAATGATCATTGGATGAGCATCATGACTTTTCCCAGTTTTCCCCAACGATCTGCAAATTTTCCATATTCTTCCCATCATTTCAAGGCAACTGACTGGGGTCTTTCCTGCCTGCAGGATCTGGGCAAGCCACTGTGATCAGCAAGTTTTGCTTCGATCGGGCCTCATATGGGAACGATTTATGTAGCCAAAAATCCAGGGGTTAGGAGGGAGCGATGCGGAGCTATGGTTAGTCAGTCAGTCATGTTCCCAGCAAAAACTGGAGAGCCGTGGAACTCTGAATCTACTAGCAACTACCCAAAAAATGACCAAACAGGGTCGACATTTGCTGTGTTCCCAGGGGCTTAACAGTTGATAAAGTTCACTCACACAGCAAGACGTTGGGAATGTACGAGCCAACACAGTGATTTCAGCAACCAAGATGAAGGACTATCACCACGCAAAGCCGAGTTAGCCCGCAAAACTGAGGATACATGATATGTCTGACAATCACTTGGGCATGCAACAACTTAGGACTCCAGACTAAATTCGACTGTGTTGGCATGAGGGGTTGGATGTTTTTTTTTTCAGTTTTGGGAATGACGCGATTGCAACATCCACGAGATGTAGCCTAGTCGCCACGTGACATCTTGGGTCATTCAGATTCAAATGAAGGTTTCAAAAAAAAAATAGGGCTACCCCCAAATCACCCATCTCAGATTGGGATTTTCCATTCTAAACATCTCAATTGATTAGGATTTTCCATGAAATAAACCATCCATTTGATGGTGATTTCCATGGATTTCCCCATTTATGGTGGCACCTCACCAGGATTTCAACCCACAGTGCGTGGATCACCATGCGTGTGTCAATCCACCGGGAAGCATTGACCTCAAGGTGCCGCTGCTCGTGCCGGTGCTGGGGGAACCAGGATCTACAGGATGGGGCCCCCGTTCGATAGCGTTCAGTTGCCTAAAAAAAGTGGCTGAATTAACTCTGGTTTATGGTAGATATAACGAACTAGTTAATGGGGGTTATATTGGTTTATAAACCAACAAACATCACTGGGGGGCCCCATCCTGTACCCTCTGGTAATTTGTTACAGTTTGCTATTGAAGCCATGGCCATAGAAATAGTTGATTTGTCCATTAAAAATTGTGATTTACCCATTAAACATGGTGATTTCCCCATTAGAAATATTAAAAATGGCCATTGAAATATGATTTTCCCATGAAAAAACATGTTGATTTTCCAGTTCGCAAAGTGTCAACGTTTACCGCGAAGATTTTGAGGTTTTTGGCACCAGAGGTGCGAGGATATCTCTTACTGCTTGGTGGTGACTGGAACCATGGAATCTATGTTTGGGTTACTATACATATACAGTGCGTATATATAAATAAATATATATATATATGGTCAGCGGCCCCCCCTCGACCCGCACTTGATTATTGTCGTTGGGAGGGCTGACCAGGCGGATTTTATTTATTAAAAATATGGAAAATACAGTTAAAAAAACACTTTGTCTGAAATAATATTTATATATGAAACGCTACAAATGATATAAAGAATAATAACATCAAAGCCGAATTTCGGCCAAAAAAGGCACAACAATAAACGAAAGAAAAATACAACCTACTTGAACAAATCAAGAATGACATTTTGAGAATCTTTGGGGAGGGCCCCTTGGAAAAAGTACAAAAACCTCGAGAAAACCAAAAAAAAACAAAAAAAATAAAAAAAACACAATTTTCCAGAGGTCTTGGAAAGCAGAAAAGTGTCCTACCCCGATGGGAAGGTCGAGCTTGTCCTCGCTGTGCGCATGGAACTCTGAGCACCATGTACTACTGCAAGGTACGCAAGGCTTGGGTGCATAGATGCTCGGCCAGATCTTGCGATGTCAAAATACAACCTCACTCTTTCCATCCCATCTTCTTCCAGGGCAATGGTCAATCACTGACACCACTTGGACTACAAGCCGCCATTCTTCATTGTGCCTTGGTCAATGTACCTGTTACCTCTGTACCTGCTTTACTCAATGTCGAGCGGAAGACAGCAGAGCGCATCTACACCAATTTGGAAGTGGCGGCGCATGAAGAGCCTCGAAGCGAAGACGATTTTTGGGAAGGGCCACAAATGGGCAGACATCGAAGCAGACGAGGTTGACTTAGGCAAGGAAGGTGACCAGCCCAGCGGCAAAGCGAAATGGGAACAATGGGGCGGTATGGTAGAGCGAGGGCAACCTCAGACCTTGGTTCTGTATCGTCTTTCTCCAAAGCTCACTGCCAAGCGAGCTCCTGGGCCTGGCCCTATCCGCTTGAAGGATTGGAAGAAGGTGGCCGACAAATTCCTCCGCCGTCGCGAAGTCATTCTCCATACGGATGGTGCCCGTGCCTACAAGTTGAAGATTCCCGGCGTCATCCATGACCACGTGGTGCACAAGAAGAAGCGTGTCAAGATCAACGGCAAGTTCACTTGGGTGAAACCACATTGTACCAAGGTCTACACCCACAAACTTCCATGTGGGAAAACGGTGAAGGTAAAGAGTGGCACGCAAATCATCGATCGATTTTGGGGCATTCTGCGACAGGGTTTGAAATTTGTTAGTCGCAAGCCCGGCAGTTGTCTACTTGAGCGCAAAGTTCGCTCCATTCAATGGATTTATTGTCACAAGGGCGCCAACATATGGAAAGCAACTGGTGAAATGTTGCAATTTCTACAGAAATCGTGAATTTGCCAGCTTCAGTGCCATGGTCGAAAAATCGTAGCTTCCGCCTGCTTCTGCATGCTCATTGTCTTTGCATTTGACGGACTTCCAATCAATATGTTTTCACACATGCTCCACCTTCTTTTCTTCTTTCCTTCACCAAACAAATGTCAACGTAAAAAGCCACGTAGACCTGCACATTACATCTGCTTTGTCTGTGCAAGATTTCAATCGTGTCTCCATAAATGAATCGCAAGACATCTGCTTCTGACCCATCACGCGTAGCCCGCCTTTGTTGCGGGTAGGAGGTGTGTCTTTTCAATTTAGCATACTTTAAGTTTTTGGTTCAAACTGACGCTCTGTCCTGCCAGCCATAAATTTGTTGTTCTAAAACTTCATGGCGCCGCCGCAAATCCTACGACCCGTGCCGCTTGCCAAGCCAAAGCCCAGAAGGACGTCAGCAGAAAACCAGGGAACTACCAGGGACGTTGAGTGGTGGATATGCGAATCTGAAGAGTTTTGGAGGTGCTTTGTCCTAGCTGTCATCATTTTTGTTCTTAAAATCTTTCTAATTTCCAGGTTTTGACAAGACCATTGTGAAATGTTCATACTCCTGCACTTCGCTATCGTGCATTGTTGTGATACATGGGCATTACATGACAATGTTTCCTCACCGTAAATCCTCATCGGAACCCAGGTCTGCTTGGATCACAGCGGCCGAATCCATCCACTTAATGATCCCTTCCGAGTTCGATGGTGCCACTGAGCGGAGCAGATCACCACGTGAACGATCGGGCTTGAACACACCTACTTCCCAAATGTCAGAATGGTGGTTCGATGAGTATCCAGACCCGTGGGTAGAGTCACCAGCACACACTCCAGAAGAAGGCCGGAGCGAAATCATGGATATGGTGCCAAACACTCCTCGAGAAGATGCGGCCACACCAGTCCCGATGACACCTCCGGAGTTGTTGGCAGGATTGGGTGGTACGCTCCCGGGCACTCCTCCGGATACACCACCGATGACACCTCCTCCACCATCGACGCCAGAAAGTCAGTGAGAGAACCGCAATGTATAGATTTTCCTGAAATTGGATTTCGAAGGATTGTGTTCTTCGTTAATTTGCACTTGGTTGCCTCTGGGCTCATCATGAACTGTTTGGTTCATTGTTGGAATCTCTCTGCTTTCCTTTTCAATGTCTGCATTACTATGCTTGGGAAATAACGAAATCAAACTTCATTCCACACTTAGAAGAAAATGTTCAAGTGACGTGCACCTATGCATTACATTAGCTTGGTCTGTGCAAAAACTGAACCATGTCTCCACCAATGAATAGCCAAACATCTGCTTTGAGCTAAAACGCGTAACTCGCCTTGCTTACGGGTAGGAGGTGTTTCTAGAAGTGCTCAATTTTCGTGTCTGCTGTCTTGTTCATGTATGATTATGACATGTTCAAACTGTAAATATAGAATTATGTAAGAAGATTGTTGCTGACAAATTCTGGCAGATGCATCAGTTGCACGATAAGACCAGGAAGTGCGATGGAAAACACATGGAAATTGCGGGTCGAGGGGGGGCCGCTGAGCATATATATATATATATATATCAATCAGGTTGGTATATTTTACTGGTTATGACTAACATAGCCATGGAAAATCCCTTATAAATGGAGATTTATAGCTGGGAAAATCTATAAATGGAATGGCCATTGATGGTTGGTTGCGATATAATCTGGTTGGTGGTGACTGGAACCATGGAATGGATTATGACTTTCCATGAAACAGTTGGGAATGAATTTCATCATCCCAACTGTTACACTCACTCCATGATTTTTCAGAGGGGTTGGTTGAAACCACCAACCAGTTTAAAAGTGGTGACACAATCCTAAGACTACCAAACTTTGCTGATGAAAACCATGCACTTTTGCAATCGCTACAATGGCTTCTGTGGATGGGATAATCCTGGCAGGATCAATGGTGTGGGTGAAAAACCCTACTGACAGGAAATACCACTGTCGATTGGGGGGCTTCTAATAACCCGGAGTAGAGATACCTGTTGACCAACCAGTATTATATATTACAAGGTGGTGGCCCATAGTTAGCTAAGTTGGTTTATAACTCCCATAACTATGGTTTATGGTAGATATAACTATAGTTAATGGGGTTTATAAACCAACTTATAACTGGGGGGCACCATCCTGTATGGAATCGGATAAATGTCATTTTCCAGGATCATCGCAGTTTTGAAAAACGCGAAATGAATGCAGCCAGTGAAGCACTTCGCAACCAAGAACTGCCCCAAAAAACGAAGTTCAAATACCCTCAACAAGAGACTCAGACATGCATAGATCCACGACAACAATCCTGGCTGGCTTTTTTGGGGCGTTGAAGATTAGGGGAATGATTCGCCAGTAAAACACATCTAAAAACTATTCTGGATTCACCCGTCCATGGTGGTTCTGGAACCACTTCGCAAGTGAACCTCAGTATGGACGGAATCGGAAAACCTTTCTGATCATTTCTATGAGAAAAAACATGGGAGGACCATTTTTCTCCGGCTCCATCAAAAAGCGAATCACGACGTCAATTTTTGAGCCCAAAAAACTCCTAATTGCGGCGGATAGCAATAAGAATTAGCCGGATCATCCGTAGTATGTGAGAAAATGCATGGAGAATCAATAGGACATCCTGAACAATGATCCCCATAATACTTTTCAAGGTTGAAACCACCAGATAACTTACAAACAACCTGTAACTGCTTGTTGAATACCTCTTGACAATTATCGACAAAAAAAACACATGACTACACCCCACACCATACCAAAAGTATCCACAAATAGCATCAAATAGCACCTGAAACAAGATAGGTGCGTTCGTAAGATCCGAATGCTAGGTGCGTTCGGCTCATCTAAGCCAGACATCCTCCATGCGTGTGGCGGAGGTGGGGTTTCAATGGGTGGAGGGCTCTGGTAAAACTGGTGGAACCTCCTATTCTTGGGGGAAAAGACAAGGGTTTTTCAGTAACATGTACCTTAAATCAATCACTTGAGTCAAATGAAACCGGATAAACTACGAGGTGAATAGATGTGAATAGTGGAATTCTGAGTTCATCTTGAATGATATGAAGGTACTTGTCTGCTATAAGCAGTTTTATTTTTTCAGGAGATTACCACAGATGCCAGGAACCTCACTGGCAGTCCGAAAACTGGGGCTGGCAGGAGCCAAATGACGAGTGGTTTACATGTTGTGGTAAACAAAAAAAAGTCAGTGGAAAATCACCATCCGACGCTTTTATTTTTTTGGAGGTGTCCTATGTCATAGGGGTAGCTCCAGTTCTGCATTTTCTTGGGACTTTCCATGGGAGTTGCCATACTTGGAAGATCTTGGAAGTGCAGTTCCAGTGAACTACTCTAATTAAGTGGATATATACCATATATATATATATATGTATATCATATATATATATATATATCATATCTATATGCTATATATACTATATATGCTATATATCATCTGACCATACTACTGTAAGTGGATAGATGACCATAGTTCTGCCATGGCCCAATTGGTGAAGTCACCGCGGGCTAAAGACCGTCCTTGGGTGGCAAATTTCTAGACCAGTTCCCCCGAAAAAAATGCGAGTGGAATGTCTTGGATCATTTCATATACCCTCTGGTAATGACTAACATAGCTATTGAAAATGGCAATTTATAGTGAGTTTTCCCATTCAACATGGTGATTTTCCATAGTTATGTTAGTTTACCAGAGGGTATCCTGATTTTTTTTAAATTTAGCTGATATATTCTATAAATATGATGATATGATGCTTAAAAGATACGAGATATCTCATATATTCTCAGATATTTCAGATATTCGTTAATTAATATCAACTATCTTTGTCCACATATTCATGATATTGGCTATGATATTCTGGTTGGTGGTTTGGAACATTTTTTATTTTTCCGTATATTGGGAATTTTATCATCCCAACTGACGAACTCTTATTTTTTAGAAGGGTAGGTACCAGAATAGTTTCATACCCTGATCTATCAACATCCCCTTAGTTAATGACACATATACCATTATTAATATTATAGTAACCATTATAAACCATTATAACTTATAACTATGGATAACCAACCAGCTACATTGGCTACATGTCTTCATTTTTTCAAATGGTGCCATCACCAGCCATGGCAGGTGAGGGAGCCCAAAGTCATGGTTGCCCTGCTGGACGATGAGTGACGCTTCGGGAGCACCATACGGGGCGGATCTGGAACGGGAGAAACATGTTACCATAGGAAAACCATAGGAAAACCCATAGGAAAACCATAGGAAAATGGTGATATAAACAACACAAATGGGGTTTCGATGGGATGAAAATAGCTGATTTATGATAGTGGATTCGTTGGTACCCGGCCTGGTAAACATACAACAAACTATGGAAAAGCAGCAGTTTTTATGAGTAAATCAACTATTTCTATGGCAATTCAATAGCTATGTTAGTTTACCAGAGGGTAACAGTGAATAATAGGGAAACATACATAGGGAACATGATGAGAGTAATGGTAAATATAAATGGGATAATGGGAATCTATTTTAATGGGAAATGACTGTTTCCATAAACAGGGCTACCCCAATAGCTGGTTGGTTTATAGTTGAAAATCCCATTAAAACTGATGATTGGGGGCACCCCCATTAGTTGCTTTTAATGGGAAATAAATAGTAACATCATGAGAATAATGGAGTAGCAATGAAATAATCAGGGGATTTAAACCTCCTAATGATTCACGATGGTGTTTCCATGGGACTTTCATCTATCATTACTGTAGGAGGTATTGAAAATGGATATTTCTCCTGCGATCGTGGGGAGATACCTACAACCAACAGTATGGTGTGATCAAATTTGATGGTATGCCCTCTGGAAATCAAACGTGGCTAGCTGGAACTTCGGCCATTTATTTCAGTGATTGTCCCTTTGCAAAAAGCTCCATCGAAAGTTCGAAGATTCCCCAGCCACCTTTGATTACCAGAGGGTGGGTGATTTTACAATTGGAACAAACACTAGCAGAAAGGGTCCATGTCAGATTTAGGGGGTGTTTATTGTTGGTTAATGCTTGTTGGATCATTGATATGGTCTTAGAATGTGAAGGGCATCCAGGTGTCAGACAGTTCCATGATGGTGCTGCATGTTTGATCTGATTTGAAGCCGGGATTTGTAACCCAGCTGGTGGATACTACCCAGAATCGTTTTCTTTCGAACGGAAGAGTGATCACTTGCAGCCAAAGATGGCACACCGCTAAAGATTCAACTGACCAAACAACCGTATAATAAACCAGAGTTTCTGCTTTTGCTTGGAACATCTGAACATCCCTATCTTTTTGTAGGTTTTCTTGTTTGTTTTTGGAGGTGTTTGTGAATCCTTGTTCCATTTGGATTGCTTTTTGTTTCATCAAATGTTTCATGGAGAGGTCGGCAGCAAAGAAACGGATCAAACGGCAAAATCTAGCCCCTAATTTTGTGGCTTAAAACCTCAAGCACGTCTTCTGTTTTTTCTGTTTCTTGGCTTGACTTTTTACACTACCCTTTTGCTGAAAACCACAAAAAGACGCTCGAATCGTTTGTTGGGGGATGAGTTTACATCTGTTGTCCAAGTTTTGCTGGATCATCCTGCGTTTGCTTCAGGTGATTTGTTACTTTCCCAATGGAGAAATCCACTTCTTGCGGAATCTATAGTTTTTTTTTTCAGGGGGGGTTCCTGAAGCAGATCCCAGCCATCTCAGCACGTCTTCCTTTAAAGGTACTTCAGCTTTCCAGAAGTCTCGCAAGTTTGGGGCGAGGCGAGGATTTTTTATGATTTTTCACGGGGATGTGACAGGGTAATCCATGGCACAATCAATGGGATTTTATAACCAATCAATGGGGTTTTATAACCAATTAATGGGATTTTATAACCAATCAATGGGATTTTATAACCAATCAATGGGATTTTATAACCAATCAATGGGATTTTATAACCAATCAATGGGATTTTATAACCAATCAATGGGATTTTATAACCAATCAATGGGATTTTATAACCAATCAATGGGATTTTATAACCAATCAATGGGATTTTATAACCAATCAATGGGATTTTATAACCAATCAATGGGATTTTATAACCAATCAATGGGATTTTATAACCAATCAATGGGATTTTATAACCAATCAATGGGATTTTATAACCAATCAATGGGATTTTATAGCCAATCAATGGGATTTTATAACCAATCAATGGGATTTTATAACCAATCAATGGGATTTTATAACCAATCAATGGGATTTTATAGCCAACCAATGGGATTTTATAACCAATCAATGGGATTTTATAACCAATCAATGGGATTTTATAACCAATCAATGGGATTTTATAACCAACCAATGGGATTTTATGTTTTTTTGATGGGATTGATTGGGAAAAATGTAAATAATGAGTTTAAAACCAATCAAGATCTTAATACACAGAAGTAACATATATAGCACAGGGGTTGTGTCAATGGCTCATTAACCACAAACAAATACTAATATGGGCTTATGACCACCTGGGATTTTTTATGGGGGTATCCAAAAATGAGGGTTTTTTCCCCATGGAAAAAACCCAGAATGATAGGATTTTTCTGGGGAAATGATGCTATACCACGAATGTTTTTTTGGTACCATTCTGTTACAGAAAATCCCATTAGTTGCTTTCGATCAAGCCAGCGTTCCCAATAGTTGTGGTAAATACATACCATAAACCAAAGCCTTACGAGAAACGGGCTGGAATTCAAGTTTTCAACCATCCCCAATGAGATTTTTCTCAGCCTTTCCCCTGAACTTGCAAACGAAGGAAGCAGAATTTGAAGCTGGCATCAGAATACAGATTCCAGGTTTTGAACCTTAATCTTTTGCCATAAATGGGGGACTATGAAAGATAATTGCATGGTTTTTCTGGCGTTCTTCCCAACGCCAGGGAAGTTTCGGACTCAGTTTTTGCCGAGGCCAATTGCACCGATGTGGCCAAAGCTGCCAAGAGGGTCCCCGAGACTGGTATGGATGGGGTGGTTTTTCAAGGTGTCGAAAAGAGTCGGACTTGGAAACGATGAAAAACGATGAAGCTCTGGTAAACATAAAAAACTATTGAAAATGACCATAGAAATAGTGGATTTTCCCATTGAAAATGGTGATTTTCCATAGTTTTTTGTATGTTTACCAGAGGGGAACCATCCTGGGCAGCAAGAAGGACCCGTCATGACCCAATGATCCCGATTTTGCTCTGGTAAAATCGGTAAGTCCAGAGGTTTGTCATCAAATCTTCCCAAGCAAAAAATTGCTGTTTTGGAATGTATAGAGCCATATTGATCGGGAACAGCCAGGGGGAATTAACCATCTATGTTGGGGGAGGATCATTGGGATTATATAAGGGTTTGACCAACGAGAATACAACTTTTATCGATAATGGATTAACATTTACAATTCTAAGCTATTGTTTGATTAATGTCAACCCTGGATTAATAAACCCCTAGGCTGTTTAATTGTGGGGGATACCATTTATGTATCATCTTGTGACTATTTGGAGGGTACCCCCACAATTAATAAACAATGGTTTATTAATCCGGAGTTGACATTAGCAATATAAAATGTATCAAGATCATATCTCGGATGAGCCAGCATTGCTTCAAGCTGTGGCCTAGAGCTTCTGGTGGATAATCTGAGTCACTAGTTGCATAGTTGATTAGACGCAATTTTTTTTTCTTCCGCGATTCACTTGACAAGGGTGATCGTAACTTCCATCCTTGTCGACAGCGAAAACCCCATCATCTGTGGTTAAACTCGCGGTAAACCGAATTTTTATTGACCTCCCATTTATAATTTTTCATCCAATCTCCCCTAGCGGTAAACCGAAGAATTAAGTATGATTTGTCATCCAATCCACTTCAGAATTTTGAGGATGCTTTGTGGCCTCGGGTTGACCACACTGATGTTTTTTTCAATCCATGCTGGGTTTCTCTTCAGTCGAAAATCACCATTGGATGCGTCAAGTTAGGATGGATAGATAGCATCTGGGTCATACTGTCATACTTTTGCAATATACCCTCTGGTAAACTAACAGTTTGCTATTGAAAATGGTCATTTATAGTGGATTTTCCCACTAAAAATGGTGATTTTCAACAGCTATGTTAGTTTACCAGAGGGTATCATAATAGATCCCTTTTATGAACGGTTGGACACCACCCAGCCATGGCTGAAGACTCTGATCATCCCAACTGCTTCTGAGTGGGAACTAAGAATGAGGAACTGAGAGCTGTTTCAACCGTGTGAAACTCAAGTGTTGCTGCAATCTTTGTTCAGCAGTATTAATCCGCGATATACGTCCCTATTCCAGGAATCTGAATAATCCACCATTTTGTACTATCAGAATCCATACAGGCGCAGAGGATTATGATAATTAAGCTGGTATCATTGCGGGCGATTCTGGATACACTACAGGTTCGATCAAGATGCCATTGTGCTTGATTTTTGACCATTAAGCATACCCTCTAGTAATTTAACATAGCTATTGAAAATGACCATTTATAGTGGATTTTCCCATTAAAAATGGTGATTTTCCATAGTTATGTTAGTTTACCATTAAGCATACCACTTGCCCCATCACACAAGCCTCCGGGTTTTCGCGCCCCCAGGCATTTGCGCTGGAGTGGAGGACCATCAGTTCCAGGGAGGGTCAACATTTCTACAGCATCGTGGTGGTGGCTCGTTGGCAGATGATGTTTGGGTTTTCAATGTTTTCAGAATGAATCCTGACTGCAGTCAGACTATATATGGGTAAAATGGGATGACATCGTGTTTTTTTCTTGTTACCCTCTGGTAAACTAACATAACTATGGAAAATCACCATTTTTCATGGGAAAATCCACTATAAATGGCCATTTTCAATAGCAAACTGTTAGTTTACCAGAGGGTAAATTGAAGACATGGTTTTGGTGTAAACGAAAATCTTGGATCAATCCGTTGATTGCTGAATGGTGGGGTAGCTTTTTTTTGCTGGATTAGACGATTTATATTTCTACGAAAGGAATATGTCTATATAACTTATAGGTTCAAAGGAAGATCTAAGGTTCCGCATGGCTGGAAATCCATTGATGATGACTTATCTGCGGTCATTTTTCTGTGTTGACTCATTATGAGCTATTGCCGCTATGAGCTAAAGAAGGAGCCAGGCGAATGAGGGTGATCCATATTCTGCATCGATGATGCAGTGCAGAACATATACTCATCTACTGTAGATACAATGTATATATATATAAATATAATTATATATACATATATACATATGCAGTACATATTCTACACATATTTGTATGATATTTTTTGGCGGCCTTGACAGTGACTGGCCATGTGTGTTGGCCAAGGGGTTTTGCACCACATGTCGCAAAACTGTGAGGTTGGTGAATCAAATGATCCATCGATAGCCACATATTGGACAGCGGCTAAACATAGCCATGGTGAAAACATGCCATATCTGGTTGGTGGTTTCAAACATTTTTTATTTTCCATTTCATATATGGGATGTCATCCTTCCCATTGACGAACTCATATTTTTTAAGATGGTTAAAACCACCACCAACCAGAGATGTTTTCCCATATCACTTCAACCGATGGTTGGATTTTCCCATGACATCAATCCCATCTACCCTCTGGTTATGACTAACAGTTTGCCATGGTATATATAGATGGCCCATAGAAATAGATGGTTTACGTATTAAAATGGTGATTTTCCATGGCTATGTTAAATAACCAGATGGAGAAAGTGGCCAACTGTTCGCCAATGTTCACCCAGGAAAAGGTACGACCGCGCTGGTGGTACATCGCTTTGGCCTCGTGTTCAGATCATGCTTTGGCTATGAGCGCCTGGGCTGCCGGGCAGGATTGGGCCGGGTGTGTCACCATTTTGAAGCCATCTTGATCGGGGAAAATGGCCAGGATGGGCCAGTGGATGGAATGGGATTGAATTTCAGTGAAAAAGCTACAGGAAAAGATTTTTTGATGATAACACATGTAAAAGACCAGAAAAAGAACCAAAATCTATCCGGCAGATTTTGGCTCAGTTCATTCCATTGAAACTGGTTGGTGGTTTGGAACATTTTTTTTTCCATATATTGGGAACAATAATCCCAACTGACTAATATTTTTCAGAGGGGTAGGGCTCAACCACCAACCAGATTGAAACTAGGAGAACCCCTCGCCACGATGAAACGTCCGTGTCTCGCAAGCTGAGGCTACGAGCTGCTGGTGCAGAATCCTATGCAGGGGATCAATCTCCAGCTGTCCATGGATGAAATAGGCCGCAAGGGTCGCAGGTTTTTTTTTGAGGCAACACACCATCCCAACTTGGGCATTTTTTTTTGGTTGGGATATACCATCTGGTTATGACTAGCAGTTCGCCATGGAAAATCCCTGAACTAAATGGAGGTTTATAGCTGGGAAAATCATCTATAAATGGGCCATTTTCCATGGCTATGTTAAATAACAAGATGGTAATGGTAGAAATGGTTGGGATATAATCTGGTTGGTGGTTTGGAACATGATTTTTTTTATTTTCCACAATAGTTGGGATGATGATCCAATCTGACTTTCATATTTTTCAGAGGGGTTGAAACCACCAACCATAATCAATGAGAATTTCAGGATCCTAAAACGGAGGTACGTCAACGTACCCTATTTTTGGCCATATGAGTTGTGGGGATATTACCGGAAATTTAAGCCTGAAAAATAGGCCAAAAATATATGGTAGGTACCTCCAATTTAGGATCCTGGAATGGCCATTGATGGTTGGTTGGGATATAATGGTAGAAATGCTATAAATGCTATGGCATAAATGATGAATCCATATGGTGTGTATGTCACATGGGATATATTATAAACGAATCTATATAGCGAGTAACATGATACCGGCTTGTCTCAAACCACAGGGGACTTGACATGACTTATATACAGTGGTATCCGTATACGAAGATGTGCACGCCAAAAAACGTGTTTCTGACAGTGCATTCGAGAAAACCACACAGAAAAATCACTCACAAGGACATGTGGGCCTAAACCACCCCATTTTTATGTTTTTTTTTTTTTAATTGAGCAAGTTCTGCTTCAACCACTTCCAAATTCTGAGAGAGTTGGTGCTTTGGTTCTTGGCGCTGTCCCGGCGAACATTTTCCATGTGTCGACCATGGCCCATAGAAATCGTTGATTTACCCAGCTACAAGATGGTGATTTTCCATAGTTTTTTGTATGTTTACCAGAGGGTATCATCAGATTCTCCCGAGCATCGCTACTGAGCGATACCATGGGACAGAACACCCCTGAATCGCTGGGATGGGCTCCGATTTTTCGGTCATGTTTTATGATTTTTGTAGCGAAGATCCTCATCATTGTTTGTGACTCCAACAAAACATGTTCTTCTCCTGAGGTTTCATTGACATAGATTCATAGATATTGATATGAACATATATGAAAATTCAGAGTTTCCGTTTGGACACATGATCTACTTTCATTCTGAGTATTCCAAAGCTTTGGCAATTTCCATATTTTTCGCTATAAAACATAGAAAACATAGATAGATGATGTAAATCATCATTCCAACATTTTGTTGCTTCAGTGCCAATTTTTCTAGATGAAACGGATCGCTCCCCTTTTTACGACCTTCGCTCTCGAGGGATTGTGCTGGTGTGCTTCATGACCTTCTTGGGCGGTTGGGCAGCAAACCATGTCCAGCCGATCATGGCATTTTTTTTTGACAAAACAAGGACTTACGGATCTTCCCGAACAACAAAACTTACTTGTGCCTAGTGGGGAATGAGGGAATGATCCACAATAACTATCAATAATAATCCCATTTCCCCCATTCCCATCCATTCCCTACTAAGCACCAGTAAGAAAAGGGCAAAGGGTGATTATACCTGCCAACAAAAATTGTTTGCACCTACCAAAATTCTGATTTTGCCAACAGCAACGGGCCACTGGGATTGTTGTCCAACACAATTTAGAAAATTGCAGACAAGGATGTGGATTTTCGCCTAAAAACATGAATTTAAGCAAAACAATCTGGATTTTACGAACACAGCATTTGATTGCAAAGATAAGCACTTTATCAGAAGCAATACATGACTATATGGATTTTACCTGAACAGATTACGTTTTTGCGAGCAAAGATGGGCATTTCAACCAAGACAACTTGGAATCTGAGAAATTATCCAAAACACTGTGATTTCACCAAAACAGCATGCGGTTTTAGTCAACAAATACTGTGATGCCTATGGATCTAGTTCACCCTGGTATCCTAGTGAAATCGCATCAACACATGGTACTTATATGTACTTATGGATGTTCATCTTCTCAAATGTATCCAAAGGTGGTAATGAATCATGGGTTTTGGACACATTTCGATCCCGATTTAGGGATTTGACTAACACAGGATCGTAGTATTTATCATTTTTGCAGCCTAAGAATCTTAGTGCCATGCGAAACTCGGCAGGAAATTTCCAAATGAATCATACAAACAACGCAAGACTTCGGAATTTTGCACGCCGGAGAACGGATTTTGAGCTGCCAAAATCGGCATACATGCAAGAAATCATCTGGTCGTTGTTTGGTGCATCATACCAAAACTGGTTGGTGGTTTGGAATATTTTTTATTTTTCCATATCGTGGTTAAATAATAATCCTATCTGACTAATAATTATTTTTCAGAGGGGTAGGTCAACCACCAACCAGTTCTGGATGAACATTGGAAAGACCTCACATGACAAGAGCCATTCTTTTCCTATTCTGAAATAGGTCAACAGGTCAACATGTCAGGACCGTTTTTGGCTGCCGGTTTCTTGGGCGTGCACGCGTGTCACTAGTGCCATTCAACTGGGTTGCTCCAACCTATCGGTACATGATAGCCACAAGGGCAAGGGAGTTTTTTTTTGGTGATTAGACCGCTTTCACTATCCAATTTACCCTCTGGTAAACTAACATAGCTATGGAAAATCACCATGTTTAATGGGTAAATCCACTATAAATGGCCATTTACCATAGCTATGTTAGTTTACCAGAGGGTACCACCATTGTATTTGGGTGTTGACAGCAACCCTATTCAGTGATTGGCCATCGAGAAATGAATTTCAAACGAACAGAACATCAATCCACTGCTGACGCTGAGGTTTCGCCGGTGTCTCGCTAGTTCATTTGAAGCGACTGGGCAAAAAAGGTTCACAATCAATTAATATATGAATATAATATATATATGTATTACTATGTATATGTATATGTAGATGTAGATGTAGATGTATATACACTATATATATAATATGTATACTGGGGATATTCCATACAAACCTCGGGCACAAAATCATGCGGTTCAAGGAACGCAACCCTTTCAATTGAGTAAGAACCCCATAGTGGGCAAAACCATCGTACACCTGTTTGGCGAAAAAAGTGGGCAAAGGAGAAGCCTTGAATTGCAAGGGCGACGAAAAAAAACGCAGTGAAAGGTTTCGATTTGGAAAGGCTTGTTTTGACGCTTGCGTTCAGAATGGGGGAAGACCCAAAAGGCATGACTTAGGCATGACTCATGACCTCTTGATGATACGTAGACAAGGACATTGTCGGGTCCCTGTATAATGTGGTTGTTAAGCCACTTCCGATGCCTAAGTATGGGTTCTATCAGATTACATATACACCATAGATACATGTACATATGTATATACGTACCCAGCATATGTGTATATGCAAAGATACTATATATGTATATTATACATACAAGTCAAGTAGAATATGTATATATAGTGCATATTATATATTGTATACATAGATTGTAGATACATATCATATTGTAAATTTGATAGGGGTCCAGCAGGGGGGCTCCTAGCCACAGCTCCTACCCAGTCTTCATGACAGCAGTTGAACGGATTATCCCGTTCACGACTGGCTGATAAGTTTGGATGAAGTCACCCATTCAGGAGCTGGCATATATATATATTACCCTCCGGTAAACTAACATAGCTATGGAAAATGGCCATTTATAGTGAGTTTTCCCATTAAAAATTGTGATTTTCCATAGTTATGTTAGTTTACCATATACCATCTGGTTATGACTAACATAGCGAACTGGAAAATCCATGAGATAAACGGGGGTTTCTAGCTGGGAAAATCATCTGTAAAATGGGCCATTTTCCATAGCTATGTTAATAACCAGAGAGATAGTACAAAGGATGTCATGACTGTAGCATCCCTGTCCATACCAGGTTCTAGCTGGGTCCCCAAAAAATCAATTTGAACACATTCAGAATAGGGTCTATATATTCCAAAATAACAGCTAATCAAGCAATAGCTTAGAGTTGTAAAATTTAACCCATTATCGATAAAAGTTGTATTCTCGTTGATCAAACCCTTATATAATCCCAATGATCCCCCAACATAGATGGTTAATTCCCCCCGGCTGTTCCCGATCAATATGGCTCTATAGACTCTATACATTCCAAAACAGCAATTTTTTGCTATGGAAAACTGATGATAAACCACTGGATCTTGGGGTTTTTCCCAAGAGTTTCAGACTTGAAAAAAGGCCCCAGAGTTCCGACCATTTTGGGCGAAGCAAAGATCTGTCTTTTTGGGGGATCGTTGGATGTAGGTGATGGATAATGACACCCCATTCTCACCCAGATATATAAATATGTATATATATATATAAATATGTATATATAGATATATAAATATGTATATATAGATATATAAATATGTATATATAGATATATAAATATGTATATATAGATATATAAAATATGTATATATAGATATATAAATATGTATATATAGATATATAATATATGTATATATAGATATATATAAATATGTATATATAGATATATATGTATATATAGATATATATATAGATATATAAATATGTATATATAGATATATAAATATGTATATATATATATAAATGTATATATAGATATATATAAATATGTATGTATAGATATATAAAAATGTATATATAGATATATAAATATGTATATATAGATATATAAATATGTATATATAGATATATAAATATGTATATATAGATATATAAATATGTATATATAGATATATAAAAATGTATATATAGATATATAAATATGTATATATAAATATATAAAAATGTATATATAGATATATAAATATGTATATATAGATATATAAATATGTATATATAGATATATAAATATGTATATATAGATATATATAAATATGTATATATAGATATGTATATAAATATGTATATATATAGATATATGTATATATATGTATATATATATGTATATATATATATATATAAATATGTATATATAGATATATAAATATGTATATATAGATATATAAATATGTATATATATATAAACAACTATGTGGAAAATACACATTCAGGCATGGGTTATAGATGGCTTATTCACATTACCACTTACCATTCCTGGGATCTAAGGAAGATCTTCTGGGGTCCCTGGTGCAGGTCGTTCCATCGATGGTCTCTCAGACGCGGCGATGCGCCACGGGGAACGACGCTGCTGTCTGCATCGTTGCTGTTCGCAACGTTGCTTGGTGCAGGGTGGAGGGTCCTGGGGAATTTCGCCCCATAAGTTGGGATAGGCCTTGGATGGTTTGCAACTGGGACATATCCCTTGACCGATCCCTGCTGTCATAACTCAGCAGGCTGGTTGGGTCTTTGTCGATACAAACCCATGATACTGGCTGATTTATAGACAGGGGTTCCCCAGTTACCAATTCCTGGAGTATGATAATTCCCAATAACATGGAGCAATCCATTTCCCTTTTTATATTTTTTATAGAACCCTGTGAAAAAAACTTGGCATAGAAAAATGGATGATTCTTCCCCAGTTGGTGTTTTTTTAATGGGGTTAGGACATGGCAGACTTTACTTAAGAGATGAAATTAGGACATCCTTATCATGATCATCCTATTACCGTAACCAACATAACACAACTGTTAGAACTTGGGCACCAGATGCCCTAAGTTCTCCAGGCAATAAACAGCTTTGCATAAAATGGCAAAATTGAGTGTTCTATCTTTTGCGGCAAGTATATCTAGACATATATATATATATATATACACACACACACGTGTATTATACATATATATGTATCTATCTCTATCTCTCTCTCTCTATATATATATATATACAATATATATAATATATATATATGGTCTCCCCTTCTCCAATAATTTTTTGCTCGATTATCATCCCAAACCACAAGATTTCAAAAAGGTAGGTCAAAAATGGCAGATCTTTTTTTTGGGGGGTATCATATGTATATATATATATACACGTGTATTATATCTATCTATCTATCTATCTATCTATCTATCTATCTATCTATCTATCTATCTATCTATCTATCTATCTATCTATCTATCTATCTCTATCTCTATATCTATATCTATTTCTATATCTATATCTATATATTAGTACATATGGACACATATCTATTGTGATTTCCAGTAATCGGAGAAGCCGTCCATGGTGAAACGATTGGTTTTTGTCCGCAAGAACTGGGTAGGGAGGAATAGGTTGGTCGGCCTCGGCATCGCCTGTCGTGGCGAAACATTCCCCTGGTGGTAAAACGATTTAAAAACAGGGACTAAAACCTCCAAGAAGAGATCTTTACTGAGGAAATCTTCTTGGATAGAATCTAAGAATCCCCCCAAAATTGTGTGAATGGTCACTTCTGGGTTAAGACTTTTGTCTTAACAAAAATCTTGGAAGGGCATGGCACTGCCCGTTTTTGGGGAACCCTTTGGGATCCAAGCAGCAACGTTGTTTGCTTTGGAAATAATGTAAACCCTGGATTAATAAACCCCTAGGCCTAGGCTGTTTAATTGGGAAGGTACCATTTCAGTATCAAATCATAACTATTGGGGGAATACCACCTAATTAATCAACCATGATTTAGTCTCATCCGGGGTTGACATTACATCAGTCACCCCTTCCGTCTCTAATGAGAAAATGATCCCAAGTCACAGTGACATGCCGCACGTGCCTTGGAAAATCTTTCCAGTGCACTGGAAAACGATCCATGGGAGGGTTCATGATTTACCAACTAAAAAGGTTGCCATGATCATCCATGATCCATTTGGGTTAAGTTAAAAGGATTTACCCATTTTTTACATTGCCTTTTTTATTCAATGGATAAAAAAGGGCAAAAGTTTGTTGATTCCTCTAGAGGAATTGTAATGAAATTATACAGTAAGGATTTTGCCATAAAAAAGTCCCAGCTATATCCACAGTTTATCCAACATATTTAACTGGCACTTGCTTTTTGGAAATTGGGCATCCACGGGCCCGGGCCCGCAGGATCCCGAGTCGTTGGGAATACACCAAAGATGTTTCAAAACATGGATACATGATATAAGTCACAAAGATATTAAGGTGGTGTAATGGTGGTTTAATGGTGGTTAAAAATATGGGATTTAGTGGGATTGACTGGTAATTTAATGGGAATTACCCTCTGGTAAACGAAGAGTTTGCGACATTGAAGCCATGGCCCAGTCGAAATAGTTGATTTACCCAGCTATAAAATGGTGATTTTCAAGAGCTTTTTGTATGTTTACCAGGGGGTATGATGAATTTGGGTCCATGTTTTAGAAACAACCAAAGATGTTGCAAGATGTTGATTGAGAAGTTGTAAGAGGGGTCAGCCCCAGATTTTTTTGGGTTTATCTCCATAACAGACAGCATGCATTGCCAGTTTTGGATCGCTTTCTTTTCCCTCGTGTTTGATACTTCTTACCAATTTCCAAGAGTCCACGAGTGGCGTCAATGGGTTGTTTCCACCAGTCACGACCATGAACAGCCCATAGTTTGGCCAATTTCACCGGCCACTTTTTTTTCCTAACATTCAATGGATTGGTTTTTGCGGGAAATTTACAGGAAAACCCCACATTGACTGGGAAAATCCATGGTTTCCGGTGAAGATTTTCCCAAGAAAACCAATCCATTGAAACGTCGCCGCGGAGTCTGGGCTTTGAACTCAGAAAAGCCACGGAGCCATCGGTCAGCGGGGGAAATCACGTGAATCTCTCTATCGCTTGGTGGTTTCAATTCGAACTCATTGCTTTCAGCCCCCCAAATCGACAGATTTCTCTAGAGAAAGATAGTTTAGTGATATAATTCTCTAGCGATATATTGATTTATCATTGTTTTCAGCTCCCAAATCAATATCCATACTTTGATGTGAGTATATAGTTGCTAGTTTACATAGTTTGATGTAAGTAGTTAGTAGTTTACTAGTTACTAGCCACAGTTATACCTCATTGACGGGATAATGGCAGGAATTGGGGACTTGCGATGACTTTGGAAGTACTTGCTTGAAGGGCTTGTGAATGGGACCCGGGATGTGTGTGTATATATATACTGTGACAGTATATTTATATACATATAGATAGTATAAGCAATATATATATATATATATACACATAGTATAAAGATATATATACATATATACACATACAGTGTAAACGCATATACGCAGATATATATATATAACATATATATATTTAACATATTAATATATAATATTAAAATATATATATATATACTAATATGTGTATATATATATATATGCATAATATGTATATATATATATATAGCTATGCAGTAGAACCCCAATTGTGATCATCCATCCCATCACGTCTCAGTCGGATCATGCCATTGGTCGACCTTCGTCAGGTTGGGCCACCTGTTGTGGCTGAGTTATTTCCGCAGCTACCGTGACACAGGACGCGTCGGACGCGGGGATCCCAACGGAGTTTGTTTGCGCCTGGAATCGAAACGAAAAACTGGTTGACATGCAGAGATCATTACCCTCTGGTAATTTAACATAGCTATTGAACATGGCCATTTATAGTGGATTTTCCCATTAAAAATGAGGGTTTTCCATAGTTATGTTAGTTTACCAGAGGGTAGATATACAGATTGTTATATTTTCTCTGTTTTTTTTGTTCCAATTGTTTTTTTTTTGGACCACTTTCTAGCATCATTTTTTTGTCTAGTTTTGAGATCGAAAGACGCTGCCTGGGCCAGTTCTGGGAATTCTGAGCAGGTGAGATAGGCCATGCACCCGCTGGAGTTAAAGGAGACGTGGTTGCCTGGTTATATGTATAGAATCTATGCACAACACCTACAGAATCCTGCAGATTACAAGATGTTGAACAAGTGCCACCCCCCCAAAATATTGAACACCAGCCTAGAAAGCCTGCTTTAATATTTGATCCAATAGGTCCACTGGTTCCACTGGATCTCTTGGTAGGGATTCTTCGGAGCTTCGAGACAACCACTTCAAAGCTGTTGGAGTTTTCGAATCCAGGTTGATGAGAGGCTGATGTGTGTGTCCCGGAAATCGACCATCGCAACGTCGCAACAGTTTTTTGCCTTTTCAATCGGAAACACATTCGAAAATGGAGATGAGCTTCCAGCACGCCAGCTTGGATGATAAGAGGATATAAGAAGTCCGAGAATTCGTCATCCCTTGCATTTTCGGCTCAAAGCCATCTCTTTGCATCCACGCCCTACTCTCAGTTCGTGTAGCGAACCACAACTACTATGGCACCTTGCCGCAACAGGTCGGCATGGGTCGTTAGTTCGGATGGTTCAAAGATGTTCAAAACTCCAAAAAAATCAGGTAAGAAGTCCCCATGAAGCAACTTCAGTGGGTCAAATGGTTCGAACAAATGGGGCCCTTGCCGAGATTTCATCCGTTGAAGACTTCCACCGGGGTACGATGGCATCATCCGATGGAATCTGTTACGGGAAGCTGCGCGGTCTTTACTCAAAATGCCCTGAAGATCGGTGGTTTATCGGGTGTCCTGTCGATTTCCCCCCCCCTTACGCCCTTCCCCCTTTTTGCCAGCATGTCGCTGGCGCCTGAGGTTTCCCGCCTGGCCGCTCTCACGTTGCTGCCCCTGGTTGCCAGCTTGCAGCTGCAATCCAATAACGGCGAAGCAATCGGAGCGAGCGAAGCGGAATTTCGGCAGTTCATAGCCCAACACCAGAGGACTGGGATGGGGATTGGATGGGGTGAGATCAAATTGATGATATATTCTGAAAATGAATAATAGATTAAATACATATATATATACACATTACATAGGTATGATTACACACATGTAATATAATCATGTGTATATTCGTATATATAGTTACACTTACAATTATATCCATCCTTTCATGAACTCCTGGAGGTCCATGGGAATGAGATTGGAATGATGATAGAACTGAACAATGATCATCCTAAGTTCTATCATTCCAATATAATCTGCTTGGTGGTTTGGAACCATGGAATTTTATGACTTTCCATTCAGTTGGGAATTTCATCATCCCAACTGTTACTCACTCCATCATTTTTCAGAGGGGTTGGTTGAAACCACCAAGCAGTGTTGTATTGGAGGTCTTCATGGAGCGATCAATTCAGGGCGACACCCCCTCTATTCATTTCTGTTGGGGTTTGATTCTAACTATGGACTTTTTTTGAGAAGTTGAGAAATCCGTTCATCACCAGTTGATAGATGATATAGATGGTAAACATCCCAGGAATTTTTCTTTGGATTTCAACCATAACACGGTGGTTTTTCTCGGATTTCGCTGGCCCATCCACAGTATGTTCTGGTTAAATGACCGCAACGGGTCATTTCCAGGGTTGCCCCAAAAACAGTGGCTGAATGCTATGGTTTGTGGTAGATATTTCACGAACAAACGTGAAGTGAAAATGGGGGGTTATATTTTCTATTGGTTTATAATTTTCGCATAGTTCCATCGATTTTCCATAGATTTCCCTGGCTGCCCTCTGGCTGCCCTGGGGTGAATCTAAACCAACAAACTCACATCACTGGGGTTTATAAACCCATCCAACGTACGTATGCCACTTCAATGGTCGCCGTCATTCTCGCCATGTTTCCAGGACATATGTGGTGGGCAGCCATGAATACATCCAGCACCTGGGACCTCTGGGACCTCGTGACACCTGGGACGACACCTGGGACCTCTGATGATGACACATGTGATTTTTCATAGGGCTTTTAAGCATCAAACTAAGGGGATATGATATATATGATGGTTGATGAATGTTTTTCTGATCTATATGGGGTGAAATATCCTTGATATCATGGGGAAAAACAAACAATCCACAAGCTGGGAAATCCGTTCTTAGCCAGCCAGATTTGTTTCTTGGGACGACAGAACATTTTGAACATTTTGAACGCTGCTCAAATGATTTATGGGTATAACACCAACCATAACTGGGGACAAATGGGGGATACATGCGGGTGCATGGCAACGAATGTCGATACAATCAACCAATATTGGATTTGGTTGTGCCTACCAAATGGGGTATATATATATATATTGCATACATACAAAAGAATTTCAATGGAAAAGAAGAATCAGAAATCACCCTCTTTGCGGCATCTTCCGACAAACCCAATTTTAGCAATGCTGTAAATGTAAATTTGCATGTTTGTTGGTTGCGTTGCCCAATTTTTGCTTGAATCACCCATCTTCGTCCTGATATGGCAAATTCATCTGTTGGTCAAATTCACCGTTCTTCAGAAAGACTACATCAGGTTGAAACCTTTCTATCGTGTGCATAGCCGTTTTTCTTGGTTCAATATATCATTTAATATCATGCAGCAGTTCTATCATAGTTCTATCCATGTTATTACCGGTAGAATCCACCAGGTTTTGCTGGTTAAATGCCAATTGTTTGCTTTCAAACCCAAGGTTTTCCAACTGGCTCCCACAAGTGCTAGTTTTCTCGGCCAAATATATTTTTCATGTCATCGAACTACCATTCTTGCTCAGTTTTGTTGGTATTTACCATCCCCCAACTACAGTAGCAAAGACTCTGCCAGATAGGGATTGGAAGACATCTTTCCTCTAAAGATGGTTCATGTTTAGGGTCGAACTCTCAATTTTCCAAGCTAGAAGCCTCCTTTTAGTTCTGGTATTTCCCATATTTTCTGAAGATTTTTCCAAGAATTTTCCCATATCCCCATCAAAATCCGCAAAAAAGTTGATGCTTAAATCATGTTTTTAGTCCTTTCTGAAATGCCTATGAATTCCCAACGTCTTGATGTTTATGGCCAGCGACCGACCCGGGAGACCTGGGGAGACCCACCCAGGCGGATGGTCCTTTTCTCGGATCACCTGCGCCGTGCGGCGGAGCTGAATGCTCGTCCCAACAAGAGCTGGACGGCGGGGGTGACGCCCCTAGCGGACTATCTGGCGCAGGCGGGGCACCTGGAGCCCCTGGGGCGGATGGTACCCTCTGGTAAACTAACATAGCTATTGAAAATCACCATTTTTAATGGGAAACTCCACTATAAATCACAATTTTCAATAGCTATGTTAGTTTTCCAGAGGGTAAATCCACCAGTTGATAGATGGTAAAAATCAATGTCCAGTTGATACTATCCCTTATTTTTGTAAAGGGTTGAAAAACGATCCGAGTTTTGGCGGTGCAAAAAAATCGCAACCATCCACCGTATCAATGATATCAATGACATATGCTCTATATATATATATATACACGATAAATGATGTATGATATGTGTATATATAGTTATACATATATATATATATGGGAGCCGTCCGTAAAAGCAGGTCACAAATTTATGAATTGATGCGTTTACTTTGCTTTGCGCGATTGCTAAAACCTGCATCGCGATAGGCTGAGCGATTGGTTGGAGATTGGTTATACGGCTACCACCCTACTACTACTACTACTACCACTACTAGTACTACTACTAGTACTAGTACTACTACTACTACTGCTACTACTACTACTACTGTTACTACTAGTACTGCTAGTACTACTACTAGTACTACTAGTACTACTAGTACTACTAGTACTACTAGTACTACTAGTACTACTACGACTACGACTACGACTACTACTACTACTACTACTACTACTACGATTACTACGACTACTACGACTACTACGACTACTACGACTACTACGACTACTACGACTACGACTACGACTACTACTACTACTACTACTACTACTAGTACGAGTACGAGTACGACTACTACTACTACTACTTCTACTACTACTACTACTACTACTACTACTTTCGAGACCAGAACCATGCCAATAATTGACATGGCCGCGCGGATTCCGCGCGCGCGGATTCCGCGCGCGCGGAATCCGCGCAGATGTTTTCAGGTCAGAAGGACATTCAAGCTAGCTCCAATTGAAAACAGGTCAGAAACAGGTCAGAAACAGGTCAGAAACAGGTCAGAAACACCAAAAAGCAGCACTTGCCTAGCATCCCATCCATCCATCCATCCACCTCAGCTCTTATCATTGCTACTAATACTACTACTACTACTACTCCTGCTACTACTACTACTGCTACTACTACTGCTACTACTGCTACTACTACTACTACTCCTACTACTACTCCTACTCCTACTCCTACTTCTACTCCTACTCCTACTCCTACTCCAAACGCACCCTCTCTCTCTCTCTCCCTTGCCTATTCCCTCACCCTCCTACCAGAACTCCTACGCCTACTCCTATTCCAATTTCCACTACCACTACTGCTAGTGCTACTGCTACTGCTAGTGCACTGTGAGTTTTCCGGACCGTTTCCGGACCGCACAAGCTTATTTTGTTCCCAAATTTGAAATCGAATGCGTTCACGCATGGATCCTCATTATATAATACATAACTTATATTTTATGTAAATGATCTGATCAACGAAGAACAAACCCTTCCGCGATTGCTCACTGTGGTACCGCGGTTGCTACGCGATTGGCTGAGCGATTGAGGGCTGTCCGGGAAAAGGTATTTTGGACAACCCCCATATATGTATACACATATATGATATGTCATATATGTCATGATATATGATAATGTATGACACATGATATTTTATGGTATGGGATATTACTACATATATAGCCAATAGCATATGATTGTATGGGTTCTAGGAGGGTGAAGCATGGAACATGGGGCTTACCAAGATTGGAATGTATGGATTTCGCCAACAACGGCTACTGCCGTACCGGTGTAGGGCTTGCAACAATTCGGATACCCTCTGGTGAACTAACAGTTTGCTATTGAAAATGGCCATTTATAGTGGATTTTCCCATTAAAAATGGTGATTTTCCATTGCTATGTTAGTTTACAAGAGGGTACGATTCAACCAGCAAACATTTTTTGGTTTGTCCAAAAATCGGAAACTTCGTGGGCTTTTGATAGGAAGATGGTACGGATATGATGAAATATTTGTAGGATATGTAACGATGGATCTGTCAATGGGGAAGCATCATTTTTGGAAATCAGGGGATCAACTGGGCCAAAAACCATCCCGTTCAATTGAGAGGGTAAGTGATTTGGTGGATTTTCTATTGCCGCGTTTGATTTCTGGAGGGTACATGAATCTAGTTGTCCAACTAAAATTGGGGTTAAAAACAACACGTTGGATTTAAGCAAAACTATGGGGGTGTGAAGCCAACCACAGGTGGTGGGAATATAAGGGGGTACACACACACACACATATCACATTATATATATATATATATATCGCTACAAATAAGGGACCGGATGGGGACTGAATTTCTCAGTCATTTGGGTAATTATCATCCAGCACCAATGAGAGATTGAACAAGCCATGGTTAGAACCAAGATCATATGCTAATGTTTTTGTTTTTCCCGCTTTTCTAGCAAACATTGGAGACTAACATAGATTAAACAACAATAAGAGTCCCTGGGTGCCGACTGGTGAAGCTTCAAGAATGGTTGAAAGGTGAGACCAATGTGGGATGTCACCTAAGCCGGAACTTTCCATCACCATGTTTCAATTCCCCTCAAAACGTCGCAATTACACATCATACCCTCTGGTAAACATACAAAAAGCGATTGAAAATGGCCATTGATAGTGAGTTTTCCCATTAAAAATGGTGATTTTCCATAGTTATGTTAGTTTACCAGAGGGTATTTCCTGCTGATCAGTGCTTCTCCCATTTTTTGAAAAGAACAGGGGACTGTGAGAGTGCAATTCTTCTGTACATCACGTAGCTTTATGAACCAAAACACATTTTCATCGCAAACCACATAAAAAATAGCTTGCAACACCTCAACCTCTATTGTGAAACACAAACTGTTTTTGTTGGGGGGAGGGCAAACCAATTTCATGGGTGGTCTCCCCATTTCAGTCGTGTCACATTGTCCATCCTGAAATCGAGTCCCAGGAGCTACAGATGCTCAGGGGATGGAAGCTTGGTGGTAGGAGATTTCCAGCCATTGTTTCATTACCAGAGGGTAATTACATGTAATTATATGGTGGATTATCCTGGGTCTAATATGTAATTATATATATATAATACATGTATAAGAAAACATATGACACGAACTATTTGGATATATGTGCACTGGTTTATATCAACGAGGCTTTTCACAACCCCCAGACCTGCAGATTTTTCTTTCGGTGGGTCATGAAGATTTCAAACATCACCTGCAATGGTGGTTCTCTTTAACGGTTGTGTGTTGTATAGTCCCAGTTCTTCAATTGGGCTTTCCCGATTGCATCTCTTCCCATTGCGGGGCGGAGAAAAAACTGCTTGAAAAGAGGTGCTTCTTTGTGAACAAATGCCGCATGCAAGGGGATCCAAACCAAGAAAGGGGATGTGAAGGGCTATAGTGACACAATATTGAGGCTGTGCGGTAGGAAAAATTGGCGTAGGGGTGCCCAAATATATCTACCTGTTTTGGAAGAGTGAGTGCTGTAAACAACAATTTGAAAGAAGTTCTTCAAATAGTTCGAAATTCGAGGACCTTGGTGAGATTTGAGGTTCCAATTCAGTGGTGAATAGGCCATGCTTTCCGCGATGTTTTCTTTTCTGGTGCTTGGTTTCAAATACGAGGTGTCATTTCCATCCCCACCTCAACGGATATTCTAGGTGTATACAAATTGTTCTATGGATATATGCATATATATATACACATACACACATACGCACATACACACATGCATACACACATACACACACATACATACATACATACATACCTACGTACATACATACATACATACAGACATACATACAGACATACATACATACATACAGACAGACATACATACATACATCCATACATCCATACATCCATACATCCATACATCCATACATCCATACATCCATACATCCATACATCAATCCATCCATCCATCCATCCATCCATACACACATACCCATACACATACACATACACATACATATACATATACATATACATATACATATACACACATACACACATACACACATACACACATACCCATACACATATACATATACATGTACATATACATGTACATATACATATACATATACATATACATATACATATACATATACAGACAGCCAGACAGACAGACAGACATACATACATACATTTCCCTCCGGGGCGGATGTTTGCCCAAAGGTTCATTGGGAATTTTGGTTATGTTGAGGTTTGTTTAAAGTTTATGCAAGGTTATTTAAGCGTTTACTGAGGGTTGGTTTAGATTGTCTTTAGGGTTTGTTTATAGAGAATAGTTGGTGCTATTTAGGGTTGTTTTAGGGTTTATTCAAGTTTGTTTTCAAGTAGGATTATCTATGGTTGATTTAGGGTTGGTTTAGGGTTTATTTAGGGTTTGGTTATTTGGTTTTCTTTCAAAGTTGCACAGTTTGTTGGGGTTTTAGTGAACAGCTCGAAACGCTGCAAATTACCGAGAATATGTTCCTAAATGCTTCAAAAGGTGATTTTGGCACCGTCTCGGGTAACCGCAAAAATGCTATGAGACACAAGTATGCTTGCAGTTTGCGAAAAACATGCGCCGTAACAACGCAGCAGATTGCAGTCCCGCATGGAATTGCGTGGATGTCTGGCAAACGTCAGCCCCCTAGCGATGTGTATATATATATATCTATACATATATATATATCTATACATATATATATATATCTATACATATATATATATCTATACATATATACATATATATATACATATATATCTATACATATATTTATATGTATAGATATATATATATCTATACATATATATATATATATACACATATCTATACATATATATATATCTACATATATATATATATCTATACATATATATCTATACATATATATATATATCTATACATATATATATATCTATACATATATATATCTATACATATATACATATATATATACATATATATATACATATCTATAGATATATATATATACATATATCTATACATATATATATATTTATACACATATATATATATATATACATATATATCTATACATATATATATATATCTATACATATATATACATATATATCTATACATATATATGTATACATATATATATATATATCTATACATATATATATATCTATACATATATATCTATACATATATATATATACATATATCTATACATATATATATCTATACACATATATATATACATATATCTATACATATATATATATATCTATACACATATATATACATATATCTATACATATATATATATATCTATACATATATATATATACATATATATCTATACATATATATATATATACATATATATATATATATCTATACATATATATATATATACATATATATCTATACATATATATCTATGCATACTATACACATATATATATATACATATATATCTATACATATATATACATATATCTATACATATATATACATATATATATATCTATACATATATATATATCTATACACATATATATATATATACACATATATATCTATACATATATATATATATACATATATATCTATACATATATATATATGCATATATCTATACATATATATATATATATCTCTACATATATATATTTATATATATATATATACATACACGCACATAAACACTAATTACAACGACAGATTTTCCAAGCTCATTTTGGCCGAGGAAGGGCGCCTCTTCGAGTGCAAGCGCAGCATCCGGACCAAGTCCGAAGCTGAACTTGCTGCAGCAGCAGCAGCAGCCGCCCAGAGACTCTCGGGCTCCGGTCCGAGAGGGTCGGTGGGTAACCCACGAATCGTCAGTGGTTAAGAACTATAGTATAAACCAGTTATATATGGCTTAAAGATGGCTCAGATATATAATGATATATAGTTTTTTGTTGACCACTTGCTAACTGGGATGCACATCCAAATATTTTTCACGGATGGCTATAGAAAATCATGGGTAAATGCTGTTTAAATGATGGATAACCATGGCTACCCTGGAGTAAACTAACGTAGCCATGGAAAATAATAAAAATGGTCCATGTTTCTTTTCCATAGTAAACTGTTAAATTCCCAGAAGGTTTTATATGGGTCAGTATCCACCATTTCATGACTGAGATGCGGTGTTTCCTACAGGATGGGGCCCCCAAGATAGCTAAGTTGCCTTATAAGTGGCTTAGCTATGGTTTATGGTAGATATAACTATAGTTAATGGGGGTTATATTGGTTTATAAACCAACTTATAACTGGGTGGCCCCATCCTGTACTGGTGGGATGAATAACATGGACCCCGGATGCATCCCATGTTTTGACCATGGCACTCCTATGCCTCAGGAATGGCTGAAATGGAGGCAGCTGCAATCCTTCCAGGTGCAGAAACCACGCAACAGCAATTCGAAAATCCCATGCCTAACATTAAACACCTCGATTCTATGGTCCCAAAATATGTGTTTCATATCCAAACCATGGTCTCTTGGTCGCTGTTTAATATTAGGGAGAGGGGATTTTCCGAATCCTTAGACTTGGGGGTCTATCGACTCTCTGGATGTTGCAACGTGATTCTTGGTTCCACTTGAGTCAATTGACATATTGACTACATACCCTCTGGTCATTTTAGGTAGCTATGCAAAAAGGTCCCTTCATAGATGCTTTACCTTCTTTTACCTGCCAAAGTGGTGATGTTCTTTTCGGATCCTTTTCGACTGCTATATTTGTTTACCAGCGGGTACATGTAACTCAAACTCATATATCCAAAAGTTTCAGTGATTTCAGTGATTCTTTATTTGCCAAAGATTTTTTTATACCAAGGAACAAATCAAGAACATAATTGTCACTTTGATACCTTCACGAACACCCCGGAAGTCCGGTTCCACTTATTGGCTGTCTCTGAAATCGTCTCGCTGGGTGCTAGCCACATAAGATAAACAATAAACCAGTTAGATGAAGATGATGTTAGTTTTGTTATGATTTCTTAGATGATGTTGGATTTATACAGGATGGGCCCCCCAAGATAGCTAAGTTGCCTTATAAGTGGCTTAGCTATGGTTTATGGTAGATATAACTATAGTTAATAGGGGTTATAAGGGTTTATAAACCAACTAACATCACTGGGGGGCCCCATCCTGTATGGATTTATTCAATTTACCTGGGCTATGATCCACCATGGCTTAAATCAACTTATCAGCCGCAGGCCGACGGTTTTTTCGCGGATATGATCAACACATTTGGGATGTGTGGGATGCGCTTCGAAATAGTTGATTTACCCAGCTATAAAATGGTGATTTCCCCATTAAAAATGGTGATTTACCGATTAGAAATATTGAACATGGCCATTTATAGTTGATTTACCCATTGAAACTAGAAATGGTGAGTTCCCCATAGTTTGTTGTAAACGTTTACCAGAGGGTAAATGGATAGTAAATGGATAAAAATTCCTTCTTTTGAAAAAGAGTCCCAGTCATCATCCATGTTTTTTTAGCCAGTTATGGCACACTCTTTCAGTCTTTTCAAAGATCTTGTCGACGAGAACACTTGGAGATGCAGCGCCTGGTTCCATAGAGAGATACAGACCGAGAGAGATAGATATCATGAGGATTACAGATAAATGATCATGATAGATTGTGTTTGCCAATTAACCTTGCAATGGAAAATCCCCATTTAGTTCCACGATTTTCCCAGCTATAAAAACCTCCATTTAGTTCGGGGATTTGCCATATTTTCCCAAGATTGTCCCAAGAGTTTCTTCAAAAGTTCCCATATTTTCCCATATTTATAGGGAATTTCCCAAGATGTCCCCATTTTTCAATGGTCACTTTGTGGCCGGAAGTTCCCGGAAGCGGACGCCCTATGCGTCAGGAGGTGGCGAACCAGGGCTTCTGTGGCTCCTGTTGGGCCATGGCGACCACCAATGTCTTGAATGCACATCGCGACTCGGCGGACCGAGATGAGAGATGGGGATATTGTGGGGATATCAACATATATATATATATACTGTATATATATACATACATGACAGATGTGTATATATATATATATATGTATAACACATGTATATAACATTTCATTTTTTCTGAACGATTAATTAGACCAATTCCATTTGTGGAAGGCTGATCCAGTGCAAACAAACCCGTGCAAACCATGACGCTGATTTTTTTTCGTGCGACCCTTGTGCGGGTACACTGCACCAAATATTGCATCTTGACCTTGATATCCAATATTCACTAAAAATCACAAAATCCCAGGAGCTCGTGAAATTTGATATGTATATATATATATACACATATACATATATATATATAACATATTTCGAGATAACACTGATGTATATATTTGTATATAGATAGATATTCAAAGCACAACATATGTATATAGTTGTGTAAGCAACAACAAGATATGGGGCTCGTCCAAGAATGGGCTAAACACAAGCTGGTGGAGCAGAAACGGTCCTGGCGAAGCCACGGATTCTATATGGGTCTGTCTGGAAATGGGGTATACCCCCGAAAAAAAACACAAAACACCAGCCATGTATATATATATATATTTACACATACACATACATATCACATCATATTAAACATATATGATAAGGAAAAATATGACACTCTATAAATCGGATTTTGTGGGTACCTATTTTTAGACAAACCCACATAGTATCTATAGGGGATTTTCCATTACCACGTTTGATTACCAGCGGGTAGTAGGTAGTGCCAGTTATAGGATTCCCACAATTCGAAGGAGTTAGTGGACTTGGGGTTGACCATAGAATAGCGATGGCCAACTAATTTCCAGTGCCCAGCTATAACCCCGGCTCTGTATTTCAGAAGCGGCATCCTTTTATCACTATTTGTGCCTGAGGAGAGATCTACCACAACATCACAGAACATCTTTCTACACAGGAGCAGTTTCACAAAACCCGGTAGGCGGATGATGATGAGGGATTCTACTACTACCCTTTATATATTGGGGGTTATCATAATCCGTAAAGTGGGACTCCCCATTAGCCATCCATGATTCTGGGGATTTTTCGGATTTTTCCATTTTCCAATTTTTGTTATATTATCATCCCATGATATTTCAATTTCATAGCATGAATTTCCCATGGTTATCCCAGTAAATATCCTCATATTCAAATAGGGACTTTCGAAGAATTTTGGCTTTCTCATTACGATTCAGCCACCCCGAAATTATATATATGTATATTATATGTATATTATATAGATATATTAAATAATAATAATAATAATAATATATATATATAATATTATATTATATATATATATATTAGATATATATTATATATATTATATATATTATTTATTATATATATATATTAAATATTATATATATTATATATTGTATATATTATATATTATATATATTATATATTATATATATATTATGTATTATATATCGTATATTATATATTATATATTATTTATTATATATATATATTAAATATTATATATATTATATATTGTATATATTATATATTATATATATTATATATTATATATATATTATGTATTATATATCGTATATTATATATTATATATTATATATTATATATTATATATTATATATTGGATATTATACATTATATATTATATATTATATATTATATTATATTATATTACATTATATGTTATATTATATATATGTATATTATATGTATATTATATGTATATTATATGTATATTATATGTATATTATATGTATATTATATGTATATTATATGTATATTATATGTATATTATATGTATATTATATAGATATATTATATTATATTATATAGATATATTATATTATATATATATAATATGATATATAATATAATATATATATATAGATTTATTATACTATATATTATATATTACATATATATATATATTATTTTACGCCCTTAAAAGGCAGCCCGGAAGCTGGTTGGCACAAGAGCTTCACCTGGTGAGTTGGATCCCCATGCCATTAAAATCTCCCGGTGTTCTGAGGCATTTTCCAAAAGCCTGACATTACCATTACTGGTTGGTGGTTTGGAACATTTTTTATTTTTCCATCTGGTTGGGAATAATCATCCCAGCTGACTTTCATATTTTTCAGAGGGATTGAAACCACAAACCAGATTATATCACCATGTTTTTTTTTCAGATATCGCTATATAAGTTATTTCATGTACATTGCCATGAAATATCATCATTATGTTACTAGTATCTTGCCATTATACTACCATTATATTACCACCATATTGCCATTACTATACCATTACATTACCATTATATAGCCATTACATTACGTATTGTATCTCATTATATTATCCAAAGCTTCCCCAGTATATACCATTGTATTCCATTTAATCAGAGGAGTAATGGCCCTTTTTTTGATAGTTAAACCCATTGTATCACCGTTTTCAGTTTTACTGATATTCCCACTACAAAATATATCACCACTAAAATTGGCATTTCCATTATATCAGAATTGTTTCCCTTTCCCCCAAGTGGTACCATTGCCACTATATCACCATATTGATCCCATTATATACATTACTATTACTCAGAAATACGAACACACACACACACACTAGACAAGAACTGGATCATTGTAGTGATCCGTCAAGAACTGAATCCCATGACGTGCAATTAGACTATATACATCTATGATATATTATATTATATAATATATATATTATATAATATATATATATATTATATAATTTATATATAATATAATATATATATATAATATAATATATATATATATATTATATTATATTATATTATATTATGTTATATTATATTATATTATATTATATTGAATTATATTTTATTATATTATATGGAATTATATTATATTATATTTTTATATTATATTATACTATACTATATTATATTTCACTATATTATATATTATTATGTTATGTTATGTTATATTATATTATATTATATTATATTGAATTATATTCTATTATATTATATGGAATTATATTATATTATATTATATTTTTATATTATATTATACTATACTATATTATATTTCATTATATTATATATTATTATGTTATGTTATATTATACTAAATTATATTATATTATATTATATTGAATTATATTTTATTATATTATATGGAATTATATTATATTATATTTTTATATTATATTATACTATACTATATTATATTTCATTATATTATATATTATTATGTTATGTTATATTATATTATATTATATTGTATTGTATTGTATTGTATTATATTATATTATATTATATTATATATTATATATTATATATTATATATATATTTTATGGGCTATGCTGGCCACCAGCCGCGACTTAAATGCGCCCAGGTGCACCACCAAAGCCCAGCAGGTACGTTTACACAGGTCCCGGGGAGGTGTTTTCGTTGATCACCGACCCCCCGGGACCCGGTGATCCCCTGCTGTAATAAACTATAATATATAAAAAATGATAAGCTTCGGTGGTATCCCCAACAGCCGCAACGTTTTATTTTTACAAATCTTTCTGAAGCGTGCTGCGAAGCCAAGCGCTGGAAACCCTGTTGAACCTGTTGAACCTGACCTGGCCCTGCAAGACTCCCAAGACCTTCTCCGGGACCTTCTCTGCAACCTTCTCCGGAACCCTGTTGAACCTGACCTGGCTTTGCACAAAAGCTTCCCGAACCTTCTCGATCCGGAACCTTCTCCGGAACCCTGTTGTACCTGACCTGGTTCTGCACCAAAGCCTCCCGGAACCTTCTCCGGAACCTTCTTCGGAACCCGTTGGACCTGACTTGGCTTTGCGCCAAGGCTTCCTGGAACCTTCTCTGGAACCTTCTTCGGAACCCAACCTGACCTGGCTCTGCACCAAAGCCTCCCGGAACCTTCTCTGGAACCTTCTCCGGAACCCTGTTGAACTTGACCTGGCTCTGCACCAAAGCCTCCCAGACCTTCTCCGGAACTTCTTCGGAACCCAGCCTGACCTGGCTCTGCACCAAAGCCTCCCGGAACCTTCTCCGGAGCCTTCTTCGGAACCCTCTTGAACCTGACCTGGCTTTGCACCAAAGCCTCCCAGACCTTCTCCGGAACCTTCTTCGGAACCCAAAGCCTCCCGGAACCTTCTCCGGAACCTTCTTCGGAACCTCTTGAACCTGACCTTGCTTTGCACCAAAGCCTCCCAGACCTTCTCCTGAACCTTCGGAACCTTCTCCGGAACCTCGTTGAACCTGACCCGGCGCCTGCACCAGTGCACACCGGAGCTATCTTGGGCTGAAGACCCCAGTAGCTTACGCTGTTGGTGAAAAATGAGCCGGCAGCCGGCAGCTAAATTTTACGTCTATTCAGGCGTTTCACACACACACACATATATATATATACAGTCACCGACAGAATTATGGAAAAAAAAACGTTTCAATTTACAGGCGCCGCCTGTCTATGATAGAAAAGTTACGAACCTTTTTTTTTTCCATAATTATTTTTTTCCATAATTCTGTCGGTGACTGTATGTCCATCGATTCGCAATTTGAATGCATTTTAAGGGGGAATATTGAATTATAGAAAATATGTGTCTAAAGATCTGGTATATGCCCCTAAGTCTTCCATTGATATACATAATATCATGTGATGTTCGCAATTTGAATGCATTTTAAGGGGGAATATTGAATTATAGAAAATATGTGTCTAAAGATCTGGTATATGCCCCTAAAGCCTGCCATTGATATACATAATATCTGGATGTTTCCTTTTGCCAAGCCACCAATTGGGTTGATACTACATACTTGCATTTGCATACATATTTCCATAACCCCCAAAAAAAACGGGTTTGAATTGTGGATCCATGACATGTCCAACAGGTGGAGCCCCAAACATTAATTATGGAAAAAATAATTATGGAAAAACCGGTCAATCTGCCCTAGCCCCCTGATTTCACAGGAAAAATCAATTATGGAAATAATGGCCACCTCCAAGAATTATGGGAAAAAAAAAGGTTCGGATCACTTCCGGGATATTTTGAACCCTTATGGGGAAAAATCCAATTATGGAAAAATCGGACGCAGGCGCCGCCTGTCTAAGTTGAACGTTTTATTTTTTTCCATAATTCTGTCGGTGACCATAGATATATACATACCTGTTGTTAGATATTGAAGGAGGCCCTGACATCACAATTCTTCGTGGAAAGTAATCTTCCAGCCCCCTATTTGGCCGGGTCTATGTTAATTTGTGGCCATGTTTATATTATAGCCATTACATTACAGTTTTATTACGATCATATTACCATTACCTCATATCGCCATTATATTTCCATAATATTTTTGTATCCCACTATCATATCATCCAAAATTTCCCCGCTGATATCCCAATATATTCCCCCTAATTAGTGAAGTAATGTCACTATTTTTTGATGGCTAAACTCATTATGTCACCATTATATATTTTTTAAGTTCCACTGATATTCCCATTACAATGTAACACTATAATGTACCACCACTGAAGTGATATATTTGTATCCCACAATTTACCTTCTGGTAAACTAACATGACTATAGAAAATCATGATTTTTAATAGGTAAACCATCTAAAAATGGGCCATTTTCCATAGCTATGTTAGTTTACTGCAGGAGCTCTTGAACTGCGTGGCCAATCCACACAACTGTGGCGGAAGCGGTGGGTGCAGTGGCGCGACCACTGAACTGGCCATGGCTTACGTCACATGGATGGGAGAATTGATGGGATTTAAGGGAATTTACATACTGAGATTCCATGGGATATATGAATATATATATATATGTATATACATTAAATTAAATTATATATATATATTCATATATGCATGTTTATATATATACACACATTTGCTTTCATTGCATATATAGTTATACATATTCGTGTATGTATGTAATATCCAAAAAACACACACATATATATATACACACCTAGGTACATATCTTAAGAATTTACGAAAACACGTGTGTAATTGTATACATACATAATGTAACAATCAACAATATGATATTTGGTTGTGTCTGAAAATGGGTTGTATATCCAAAATTGTATTTTAATAGGGAAGGTGACAATAAACCGTCTGATGTTGAGGGGACCCGAAACCAAAATCATGCAGCTCTTGGCTTCAGATGGTCCTGGGATGTTCCCATGGATGGATATGGCTCAACATGATTCACCCTCCAAAACGATACAACATGAAATGGTTTCATCAATTGGTTGGTCAATGGACATTTACAGGAACCCTACACATTTGATGGGAACAACACTGGTTTACAGCAGATTTTCCCAACTTTTTTGTAACCCATTGATCTCAAAATCTTTGAAAATCAGTTTTGGATCACGGTAGCCCATTATGACTTGACTCATGGGTAGTTCCAACTTTCATCAGCCTACAAGACTTTGACCCTTGAACTGGCTGCGGGAAAATACGTAGTACTCGATAACCAAATCGGAAATATTATGAGTTCGCTATGATCTTTTAATATCTTTGAATATCCTGGAATTGTTTCAATCTCTTTGGAGACCCCTACATAGGAAACCTCAATTTCCTGGCACGATACTGCAAGCGTTTGTTTTTTTGGACAAAGACATCGCATCTTCATTTGGACACCATGTACCAAACCCGAAAAAAATGTGTTTCAATCTGCTGCATCCACGCTCCAAGTCTCAGACTCGTTGATTTTTACTGCACCTTGGGATGATCCTGAAAGATGCTATCCTTGATATATTGTGCAATATGTATATATAACTGTATATATATACACATACATACATACACAGTATATATATATGTATATATATATATATGTATATATATATATATGTATATAGCATATGTATATACATTATATATGTATATATAGAGTATATATATATATATAGACATGGGAACTCCCAGTAAGCAGCCAGTATAAAGGGACGACGTTGCGGGTTTTGAACACTGTTCAATTGACCTTTGGTTTTTTTTCACATTTCAGGAATTGAAACATTGGTCAAAAACCAACAACTATGACTTTTGATATTTATGGAGTGCAACATGGTATAATTGATATAAAACAAAGACATACATCTACAGCGAATCTACAGTATATCTACATACACTCAGTATACATATATACAGCAAATATACAAATATACAAATATATATTTATATATACATATACATATATAAAAATATACATATACACATATACACATATAAACATATATACATATATGCATATTTACATTTATACATATATACATATATACATATATGCATATATCCATATATACATATATATACACATATATATATATATATACATTTACATATTTACATATATGCATATTTACATATACATATATACATATATACATATATGCATATATCCATATATACATATATACATATATACATATATACATACATACATGTATACATGTATACATGTATACATGTATATATATATATATACATATACATATATACAAATTTACATGTATACATATATACATATATACATATATACATATATACATATATGCATATATACATATATACATATATACATATATACATATATACAGATATACATATACAATATAATACACATATATATACATATACAGTATAACACAATGCAATACAATACAATATAATATAATATGATATGATATGATATAATACAATATAATATACAGTAATATGATATAATATGATTTAATATAATATAATATAATTCAATATCAATATAATATTAATATAACACAATATAATATTGATATGATACAATACAATATAATATAATATAATAAAATTGAATATAATATTAATATAATATAAATTTAGTATTATTATTATATTAATTTAATATTGATATGATATGAATATAATATTAATATGATATAATACAATATTAATGTAACACAATATAATATTAATGTAATATAATAGAATATCATGTCATATCATATCATACCATATCATATCATATCATATCATACCATACCATATATATATATATACATACATATACATATATATATATATATTGTGTAGGTTTGTGTGTGTGCGTATGTAAATATAGTTATAGATCATAACTATTTTTTTGTTGGTTGAACCAAATAACAGCCGAGGTTCAACAACACGGCTTGTCGAAAGCTGCGGATCACCCTTACAGTGGCACCTTGACCACGATTAGCTCATCTGTTGGGCCAGTGATCAACCTTGGTTAAGTATCTAAATGGCAATTAAAAATGGGGAATTTAGTGATTACCAATGGATTTAGTTTTTTTTGATTTGTGAGACATGGTTGAGTAGATTCATATTTTTTCTCCACATACCCATCAGCTAATTTTTTTTTTTTTTGCAAGGTATCCAAGATTGGCAGTTGTTACGACCAGCCTATTTGAAAGGTATCCAGGTATCCAGCCCGAAGATCAACCCCTTCTTCGTGTATGGTTCTTTATACCCCTTGAACGCTGAAATGTGGTAATTCGGGGTTTCAACCTCAGAACCCCGGTACTTTTGAGTCATTCTCCAGTCAGGACTGACTGGTGCGGGGCCAACTTAGTGCTGTGGGTTTTTGAAGCTGTGGGTGAAAGGTGGATCTTTGGTTGATGAAGCATCCGCATGTTTTTTCGAAGTGACTGGCCTCATTTTTGTTCCCGGCGCGCTCGTCACATTCAATAGTCGTAAGTAACTTAAGTCTCCCTGTTTGTCAATGGCCATGCAACAGGTACCGATTGATTGGAGGTAGCATTTGTCTAAGGCCTATTTTTCAGGCCTAAATTTCAGGGAATGTCCCCACAATTCATATGGCCTGAAGATTTTTTTACGTTTACCTCCATTCAGTCGGATCTTGTTTACGATCTCCCTTTGAGGCGCTGTTTTCCAGATCCCGAAGAGTGTTTGGTAAGGTCCTAATGTTGGGCTTCTGTGAAAATTGGGTATACCCCCAATGAACTTAAATGAATCAACATTTGAATCTGTGGCTCATTTTCAGACAAAACGCAAATTTGCGCAGCTTAAGATGTCTGTAAAGAAAAGAACCCAAGTTTTGATGGGTCAACGCCATTGCTTCATGAGCTTCAAAGAACTTGAGAACTTCCAAAATCAGTCAAGTCAGCCATGAAAAGGACCCTTGTTGGTCGGTGATTAGAGGATGATGTAACCTTGAAATATGGATTTGTTTCGTCACCAAAATGTGGATACACTTTGTAAATAGTAGTTGTTTGGCGATTGTAGTGATAGTGGACTGTTCAAAGAATATTATTTAATTGGGTTTGTAAGAAGCACAAACGGAATGATTGCCGATTGACTAGCCGGTAAAATGGGATAAATGGCAACTTATTCTTCAAAGCTGCCGACTTAAGTCATATAGTTAGGTAAGGTTCCAGAGATCAAGACATGGTTGAGGGTCGTTCAGTTCTTGTTATCATTACTTTTCCGCTGTCTCTTCTTCGTCTTCCGTTCTTCTTCTTGTTGTTCTGCTTGTTGTTCTTCTTCGTGTTCTTGGTGGTCTTTGTCGTCCCAGCCATTGATTCGTTTCAAGTAGGGCGGAGTGCGCATGAATTTTTTGCTTGCGAAAGCACCAGCCTTTTTTCGCAATTTGGTTGATGTCAAGATGAAACAAATGCTTGCAAGAGAAAACTTGAATAAACTTGGTGAAAAACGGCATGATCTCAATTTGGCCCTCTCCATTCTCTGGTCCGTACTCCCAGTTTAATCATCCATTTTAATCCATTTTACAGGTATATGGTATTCAATGGGTTGCGTTGGGAAAATCTATAGGAAACCATGTGTTTTCCCATGAACATATGGGCATTTCCTCTAGATTTCCTCTAGAAACCAATCCATTGAGGTATATACACTTGGAAATTCACTATACACAGGTTTTAATGGGACAAGTCACCTACAATGTTTTTTTTTTAAAGCACACCACATTTGATGACACCGGAGTTCCACAGGTAGATACTCCCCCTGTTTCAGGTAAAGCTGATATCTGCGGCGCGGGAAAGCGCGGGAGCTCCCTAGTGGATGGACGTAAAGACCAGTCGGAGGGCTTCAGAAGTCTCAAGATGCACGGTGTCTTGGATCAATGGCGGCTGGGGTTCTAGGTTTTGGCCAGCCATGGTTGTTGAAAAAGACCAAAAGTCAGTCATGACGACTGATTTGGGGGTACCACCATGGATTGGAAACCACCATTTGGTGCGAGAATCCGTTGTTTTTGATAGATGAGATGTTTTTTGTGGCGAGTAATGAATGCAACATGTCATCCCACCCCCATCACAGATGGGATTTCCAATATGATGATAAAAATGTGTTTGATAGGAACATGTGCAAAATCTTCAGTGAACACACTTATCGAATGTGCCATGGAACCAAAGGTTTGAAGCCACTTGGGGCATTTTAGTGTGGTTTCAATACTTTTCCTGCAGGATCAATATTTGTATCAATGGATTGGTTTAAAGGAAAATTGACAGGAAAGCACCATATTGAATGGGAGAATCGGACTGGTTTCCGGTTAAGATTTTTCCTTAAACCAATCCATCGTGACGGGAAAAAATGAATCTACAATGGATTGGTTTAAGGAAACATGTAGGTTCAATTTATGTCACAGTGATAGAAACAAATATTTTCCTTAAACCAATCCATAGATTGTAGGTTCAACTCCACTGTGACATGAATCATCCGTTTTTTGCAGCTTCGATTCACATCCGAAAAATCTGGCTATGATGGACCCCGTAGCCAAACGATTGGGAATGCAACCATCAAAAGTGGAAATGTGACCAAGTTACAACAGGATGGGGCCCCCGTTCGATAGCGTTCAGTTGCCTTATAAGTGGCTTAGCTATGGTTTATGGTAGATATAACTATAGTTAATGGAGGTTATATTGGTTTATAAACCAACTTATAACTGGGGGGCCCCATCCTGAAGGGAACCTCACCAAAGATAAAGGGTACAAAATCGTACATTCAAGCAACATAAAAGATCTGGTGAATTGGTGTGACTGAAGCTGCAAAACTAAACTCCATAGATTTTTTCATGGTTTTTCTATCAAGGGGAATGCACCACATCCTGAATCAGATTTGGGTATTGTTGCCCCATCTTGGGCCATCCACTGGAATTTGCTGCACCCAGAAACTGTCACAGCTCAGAAAAGACTCATCACATCGAAATCATGCTTTGAAGAAATTCAACTCGCCTGAAAAATTCTGAGTGAGGGCCAGGGATATTGAAAAAAGTGTTTTTCTTGTTTGAATCTCCATTTTTGATAGCCAGATATTATCAGTAGGGGGAATATCCAAGATATGTAAGGTTGCAAGGGTTTTCTTGCAAGTTAGAACCATTTTTTTAAAAGTTTACTACCATTTTCCCATTTAAATGGTTTCTTAAAATGGGGGATCCCCAGAACCATGGGTTTCAATACTAAAATGGTCCAATTTTTGATGATTTGGGGTACCTGCATTTTCGGACAATTCCATGTAATTGGCAATAACTTGCAGCATCCATTTCTGTTGAGACAGTCTCGACTATATATGGTATGGGGATGTCTCACAATGTAGAATCCCAAGACATCATTTTGTTTCTTATCATTTTCATTTTCCCATTTACCCTCTGGTAAACTGTTACATAACTATGGAAAATCACCATGTTTAATGGGAAAACTCACTATAAATGGCCATTTTCAATAGCTATGTTAGTTTACCAGAGGGTATTTGGCAATAACTTGCAGACCCTATCAAGGTTGGCAGAAGCTTCCAGAGAACAAGTACGAACCCTTGAAGATTGCGCTGGTCACTCGTGGCCCTGTGGCTGTGGCGGTGGCGGCCAAGGGCTGGGAGATGTACGTCAGTGGCATCTATTCCGACTGCCAACCGGATGTTGCGACTGGGCACACTGGACCATGGTCAAACTGGGGCAGATGTTGGGGGTCGACTGGGCAAGCCGCTGGATGCACTAGCCTCCGGTAAAGTCAGGCTTTTCGATAGGCAAAAAAGGCAACGCCATGCTATGGAAAATCACTATCTTTACAATCAGGTAAATTTTCTGGTTGGTGGTTTGGAACATGAATTTTATTTTCCCTAATAGTTGGGATGAGGATCCAATCTGCCAATCTGACTTTCATATTTTTCAGAGGGGTCAGCTAATAATCAGTTATGAATCCCTATAACATAATCACTATTACATAATCACTATTAAAGCACTATGAATCACTATGAATCACTATGAATCACTATGACTCACTATAGTTGATACATTCCCTGTGCCATTTTCACGAAGCGTGCCATGTTCCATTGCCATCCTACTCGTACTGCAGAGGGTGTCACTTTCTGCAGGTGATCGATCACGCAGTGACCTTGATCGCCTACGGTGAGGATCAGGTCGGTGTCCACTCCACGACTCCAGTGCGCTTGCCGTTGGGATACCATGGGGGAATTCACCTTTGTTGAAATGGTTGCTATTTGATACAGGATGGGGCCCCCCCAGTGAGTTTGCTAAGTTGGTTTATGAACCAAAAAAAATAAACCCCTATTTTCACTAGTTCGTTAATTATATCTACCATAAACCAGAGTTAATTCAGCCACTTTTTTTAGGCACCGGTTCACGCTATCTGAAGGGGGCTTCATCCTGCAGGGCGACGGAGATTTTTCTGTGGGATTCAGGGTCATAAACGTACCCCAAGTACTCACCATAGATGGCTGCTATAAAGAATTCCTAAATGGTAGGTTTATGGCATTGGGTTTCCCACATGATTGGAATTGTATCCATCTTCCCCAGAAGAAATGGGAAATCAAGAAGCTATGAATTTCCCAACCACATGATAGCTTGGAAAAATCGGACTCCCAAGATACCCTCTGGTAAACATACAAAAAGCTATTGACAATCGCCATAGAAATAGTGGATCTACCATGATCTACCCAGCTATAAAATGGTGATTTTCCATAGTTTGTTGTATGTTTACCAGGCAGGGTATCTGTCGTGGGAGTCCCTTCGATACAAACGAATCTTTGGTGAGAATCACTAGGCCAGGTGAGGCCCCCAGTTTCAAACGTTGCATCGTGGCTTGGCCATGAACGATATATATATATATATACCGTCTGGTTATTTAACATAGCCATGGAAAATCCCTTATAAATGGAGGTTTTAATGGGAAAATCATCTATAAATGGGCCATTTTCAATGGCTATGTTAAATAAGCAGAGGGTATATAGACTATATACCATATATATCAGCATATATACCTTTATAGATTATATTATACCAGATATCATATACCCACTGAGTGATATATCTACAGATAGCCTCTGGTAAACGTTTACAAAAAACTATGGAAAGTCACCAGTTTCTAGCTGGGTATAGCGAACTGTTAAAGTACCAGAGGGTACTTATATCTACCATAAACATCCATAAGCTATATTTAATCTAGTTATAAACCAACTGGGGGGGCCTCACCTTGCATGTTTTCTTTCAGATTTTACCCGCCATAAATCCAACAGGGGATGTCATGGTATAGCTGCATAGCTGGCTTGCCCTAGGATGGAGAAACGGGATGCATGAAAAGCATCCCAAAAATGGAGATGCAAAGAACATGTGGATTGAATAGATGGGTTTTTGGTGTAACCTTTACTATGATTACTATACATGTGGATTGATGCATCAAACTCAGATTTGTGCAGCCATGCAAAATGGTGGTTTCATCAAAGCAAGATGAGAGATCGAAGAAGCGACACAAATACTAGCAAAGACAACTTGCGACGATAACCAACAAGAGCGACACCTGAGGGAAATGGTGTTCTGACCCACAGACACGGAAATCTTGACTCCCAAAATGGCAGCAAGGCCAATGATACTGGGTAAAGAGTTCATGTCAATTTGGAGAACAGCCAAAAAAAATGAGTTGAGATGACCACATCAATTGACATATGACTCATATGACTCATATGACATGAACAAGCGTGTCTTCGATATTCCATAGCTTATTAGCTCCAACAAAAAGAGACGTGGATTTTTTCTTTATCACAGCGCGTTTTTCACCTGCGGCTCCAGGACTTGAAGAAGAAGTATTGGACCCTCATGAACTCATGGGGAGCTTCTTATGGTCACCTGGACAGGGTGAATCCTTGTGGATAGCCGATAAAAGGGCCCTAAATCATTGGGATGTTTTCTGGGATGTAGCCTCTGGTTATGACATTCACAGGGCTAGCCATGGTATAAATCACGATGGCCCTAATCGAAATAGATGGTTTGCACACCGTTTTTATGGTCGCATGGCGGATCTTTCCATGGCTATTGCTGTGAGTGAGTCATAACCAGATGGTGCCGTTTTCCCATGGTATTTCGACAGCCAGGACTCAAAATCCAGTTTCCATGGGGGATCCCAGCTGGATGCTAAAATGGAAAAGCCCATGAACATGGATGGATGATTTTTTGGGGCGATTTTAGGAAACCTCCAGAACAGATATGTATATATTAGTATGAGTCCATTCATCAGAAGGGTTCAGTTCCAGGAGTGAAGTGAGTTGTTTTTTTTGTCGTTGGACCGGCCAGAAAGTTGGCCGTGTTTAGTATGGGGGGTCTGATAACCTTCACTAAATGGATATTTAAATGGGAAAAACATTGGAAACTCATGGGGCAAATCCTGCACTAAATCGAGGCTTATACAGCAGCTGGGAGAATCATATGGAACATCATTGAACTAGGGGATTTCCCAGCAAGCCATGTTTGACTGGAGGCTGATTTTGGCAAATATGCCACATTGACATCATGACCGCACCCAATCATTGCATGACGCAATGCAGATAAGTTTGACTCCTCCTGCTGACATGTATCCCATCGTTCCAGATAAAGTTAATCTGAAAATCTCGAGCCACCGAATTTCCGCGCTTCACCAGTTTATCATAATTTTCATTAAAGTGGCGATTTGGGGGGTGACATACCCCGTTTTCAGACACGATATGAGCCCAAAACTGCCCAAGTTCCTAGGGGTAGGGTGGAGTTGACTCGGCTATTGTTGGGACCCAAGTTCCTCGTTCTTCTTGGCTCGGCTCCTCGTTCTTGTTGCTTTTTTAATCCCTATTTGTTTTGGATACGTCCATCTCGAACATTCTTGCTTGTCAAATGCCAAAGTCTTGGCTCAATCTCCAAGTGAAATTCGCGGTTTTGTTGCCTAAAACGTGAATTGATGTTGCTTGAATCCGTGATTTTTGTCGCTACAATCCGAAGGTCGGTCTGATACCAATCTCTGATTTTTCTTGTTTGACTACTCATGTTGTTGACATTCAGCATTTTCAGTTCCGAAAAAATAGCACTTTGGATTTGATGAAAGATGCGGTACCTCATGGTACCTCCAAATCCCTTTTTCGGACACACACACTTGGATTAAAACTGCACAGAACCAAGGGCAAGTAAGATTTGGCTGGGATTCTAGGATTCTTGGGCCCAGTGCAACTTGGTTTCAGTCCTCTATCATTGGGCTATGTTGGATTATAGCCAAGTTCAGACACACCCACATATCATATTCTCGCTTGGAATTCTTCACATACAATAAGTTATACAATAAGCTATATACACGATGATTATTACCATCGAAATTATTTGGGTGTAAATAAATAAATATAATATACACACATATGTATTATACGTATATATATATATATTATAAATACAACGTATGGATCACATATGTATATATATATATATACATATATATATATATAACATGGTCAAATTATTGCCATTGAAATGCCACATCTCCCAGGTGAATCCGGTAGCATCCGCCTGCTTCGGCAAGATGCCGAAGAGGCCTACTGTGGCATAGACCGACAGCCACAAGTGGGCACTGGCTGCGATGGTGGGCCGAAAGACGCTGAGCAGAGAAGTTGAGTTTGTTTATCAAATGGTGATTAAATATGGATTAAACAGGGATTAATAGGGATTAAATAGTGATTAAATATGGATTAAATAGGGATTAATAGGGATTAATAGGGATTAAATAGTGATTAAATATTGATTAAATATTGATTAAACAGGGATTAATAGGGATTAAATAGTGATTAAATATGGATTAAATAGGGATTAAATAGGGATTAAATAGTGATTAAATATGGATTAAACAGGGATTAATAGGGATTAAATAGTGATTAAATATGGATTAATAGGGATTAAATATGGATTAATAGGGATTATCCATAACATCTGGATGAACATAGTGATTTTTTTTATGGACGAATAGGGATTGATAGTGATTCAACCAAGAAGAGTTCCGGATGCGGATGACCTCGTGGTCTCGCGGAGGGATTGTAGGCCTTTCAAAAAGGCTGGTGAAGGGGCTTGTAATCTATCCAGATCATTTATGTAGTTGAATATCTGGATAATCCAGAAATATATATATATATAATTATAATTATATATATATATATTTGGCTGCTGAGATCTTTCTCGTGCCAGATCCATGCAAACCTGCCAGAGTTAGACAGGTTGATAGTCAGGCATCATAGCGCCATTGGCCATGGCAGAACTGTGCCTGATGAATTCTTGCATCACGTGATCTGCCTGTTCAGCATCACCGGTGAATCTGTGCTGGTGGCGCTGCAGGCAGTCACTAAAAAAGGCTGCGAAGGCTTTGGACAAAGCACTAGGATACTCTTTAGCCTGGGCAGTTCGGAACGTTCCGTCCTCTGCTCGGCCCAAAAGGTGCACGGTGGGCTTAATAGCCTCAGGCATTTCATGGGCTTGTAGGGCTCGAGGAAGACTATCATTGCTATAAAGCAGGGTGGTGGGTTTGATCCCAACCGACCCATAACGCCACTGCTGGATCGTGATCTTCTTGAACGGCACGCCTCCACGCAAGAGCATGCATAGAATCCCAGTTCGCCAAATCGAGGGTAAATCCAGATCATAGGGCGTGGCCGGGTGTTCAAGGATAATGGAACCAGAGCGATATGAGATGGCAATGGACAACCAAATCCCTTTGAGCAGGAGGCAATTACCCACGCTCAATTGCAAGAGTTCGGCCAGTGTGCGCAAATCCAGGCTCCACAGGGTTGTGGCTGTACGCAATGGTCTGGGGCCTTTGTGACCTTCTGCCATGTCCTGCATTGGGTTGCTCCTGGCGGCCGGCCATGTCTCACAAGGTGGCCCTAAGAGCATGGCCAGAAGTCTGCCTGCGCGGGCCAAATCTAACATTCGGTCCCAAAGGGCAGGACTATGCACATTCATAGAGGAGTGAATGGCTGTGTCAAGCGAAACGACGTAAACAGTGCTGCGCAGCTGTGGGGCCATATCCGCAAGGAACATCTCCATCCAAAACTGGAAATCTCCTTCTCGACGACGTCCAGAATATAGATGTACTATGAAGAAGGGGCTTTTTTCAGCAAGAGGTCGAAGGTGAGGTTTATGCCTGAAAACCCACTGCTTTCGTTCTTGCTCCTTTTTCCCAAGCTCTGCAAATGTCATCATGACTGGGTGCAATCGGTTGTAAGGTCTTCTGTCCTCAGGTTCTGGACGAGGGCCAAAGTCGGGGTAGTCATTTGGAAGGTGCATCCACCGTTGGGTCAACCGCTTCATACGCTGTCTGATGTGCCATGTTGGCAAGTCCTCCAGGACGCTCATGTAAGCCTGCTCAAGGAGGCAAGCAATGTCTGGGTCCAGATCCTCTGGGCAGTCATCATGGAGATGTGTCTCAACCCAATGAATAAACAAGCGGCATCTCTGGGGGTCTTCAGTAGGCAGCGCAAATAACGCCCCAAACATGAGGTTGTGGAAGTCCACCTCTGTCGGCTCTGGGAGCTGGCACCATTCTCGCAAAGCCTGCTGTAACAAGGAGTTAGATTGCTGGACCAAGAGATCTTGATTTGATGGAAACCACCATGCATAATCTTCTCGTCCTTCAGCACGAAGTTGTTCAATCTGCCTTTTCAGGCTGAGTCGTTCCCGTTGGACACTGGTAGGCCGCAAAGGTCCATAATGGCGTCGAATAGCCGGCAGTCGCTTGACTTTCCTCAGGTGGTCAGGTAGCTCAATGTTAACAGGCTCGGCTGGGCAACGGGCTAAATGAACTCTATCCCAACAGCCATTGCGTCGATACCGGAGGTGTTGCGTCAACCGGAAAGACGTATGGTGGTCACGCAGGCAACCAGGGCAAATTGTGGATTGCACATAATTGCGCTCCTGAGCTGTGACACCGTGAGCGCGAAATGCATGTAAGGCTAATTGCTGCTGGGATGGAAAGCTCTGGGAGCATGTTGGGCATCTGCAGGTTGTCGAGGACTGGGAAGGTTCAAGATCATGTCCTGTGTCGATGTCACCACCAAAATGCTGGAGCTCGGCAAGGATGTGTGCATGATAAGAGTCAACCTCCCATGCGAGCCTCTCTTGCACGAGGTGTCGCTTGCAAGCCCTTTGTATAGTGCGTTTCCAGGACTTCCATGATGCAATGACAGGCCAAATCTGCTCCCACATCTGCACACTCTCCGGGCGGGCAAACGGCAACTGCACCATCTGAGAGAGCCATGTGAGGTCCTGCGCAACTTCATGAAGCCACCCTTTGCCAGTCACAAATTCTGCCAAAAGAAGCTCCAAATGAACTGGCAAGGCATGTTGCACTAAATGCTGCAAATAGACCAGCCGTTGGCGGGCCCAATGCAGCCGAAAGGGCATAATTTCATGTTGTTTCACAAATGCATCATCAGTGGTGGTGGAGGCATTCCAAAAACCGTCATTGCGCATCCTTCGATGGTGGCCAACGATCATTGCTTCCAAAGTCTTGAGAAGTGAGGCAGGCACATCACTCCAGACGGAGCATGCATACATCAATCTGGAGAGTACCAGACTGTCATACAGCATAGCTCGAGCCTCGATGGCGAGGGAGCGATCGCCGAAGATGGAGTGTCGAAGCTCTTCAAATTATTGTTTGGCCATGGCAATGCGGCCAGAGACCTCCTCGTCAATGTCCAGATCCATTGTGTAACGCGCCCCCAAGTGTCGATAAGACGGGACCACTCGAATGGAGATGACATGTGTAGGTGTTGAGGTCACAATGGTTGGCTCCTGAGACGTATCGAAAAGTTGGGTGCGGAACCGATTGGCTTCTCGGCCTCGATACATCACTACCACTTCTGTTTTGCCGTGAGCCATATTGAGGGACATGCCAAAGCGCTGAAAGGTGGAGTGCAGAATCTTCGTGACGGTCTGCACCAAGGGCACCAGTTCTTCTGCTCTGTCCGCTGCAAGCGGAATGGCCAGGTCGCCTACCCAGGTAACAGGCGGTGCCGCAGCACCAATTGCTGCTTGACCTTGTTGGTAGGTTGGACAGGCCGAAAGTTCCTCATGAATGAGCTTGACCATCTTGGACATGAGCAGGTTGAAGCCAATGTCTGCAAGCGGTGAGCCAGGCCGCGTGCCCCTTCGTGTTTCCGTGCTGAAATCCTGATTGGGATCCAATTGGAACCACGTATTTTGATGTGCATCTGCTAAACAACGTCTGAGGGCCGGTGGCATATCATTGGGCACTTCGGTGGTGGCAGTGCGTAAGTCATCAACTAACGTAGGGATGTCAAAGTCCAGGGGATCCAGGATCTTGGCAAGCTCCTCGTGTTCCAAGGGGAGGGCATCATTGAAGACAAACTCCCTCAAGAGGTGATGAAACGCAGAACGCAAGTCCACAAAAACCACTGCGGTGGAGATGCGTTTGGCTCGGCCCAAGCGTCCGTGTAATCGCAGTATCTGAATGCCGGAGACCGTCTGTTGGGACGGAAGGCCGCCCAATTGGCCCAAGGCTCGCCGTTGGAGCATCGTCGGAAGAAGGCGCTTGCGAAGCCATGCGTGGTAAATCTTGCTGTAGGTGTCACTCAGCAAGATGCCTCGGTAGGACTCCGCACTGTTTTGAGGTCCCTTCTGCTTCCATACGGGGACCAGGTAGCCGCCTTTGTGTCGGCAAGGTTCCACGGCGGTCAGGAAGGCTTTGAGCATGAGTCCATGGAGATGAGGTGATAGGGCAACTGCTCCATATCTGCACAAATTGGACGATAGCCCATCTGGCCCAGGGGCCTTGTGTGGTTTCTGTTTCAAACATATCTCCTCTGTTTCAGCCAATGAGGGCAATTCAGCAAGGTCCACAATTGTGACTGCTGGCTGCTGTTGGAGGGCGGAAATGTTGCGATCCACACAGCGACGATGGATTGCCTCATGCGGTCTTGTTGTCCCAGCTTCAAGTGCCTCAAAGTGGCCAAGTAGTTCAGCATGAATGTCAAACTGTTGGACTGAATGACGCAGGCGGTTCTTGGGCAAGACTGCTTTGATGTGCTTCCATAAAGCAGTAAGACCCTCAACCGAGTAGGTGTGGGCAGCACGCTGGGCAAGGGCAGAGTAGTAGGCAGCATCCTCTGCTCGAATTGCTTGAGTGACCTTCTGGGTGGTGTCACGCAAGGAACTCATGGTGGTGGCAATTGCCCTATCACATAGTGGTAGCCAACCATGTAGCCTTGCTGATGGATCCTTGCCAGACCACGCATGGAATACTGCCTTGATGATGGTGTGAGTACGGGCCTTCTTCATTGTTCGAAGCTGCCGGAACAGGGCCTTCTTGGCATCAACAAGGTGCCATGTGGCATCACTGATGTGGGTTTTTCGTGGACATCGCTTGGAAGTTGGGACAAGATCATGTACAGCGTGTTGAGTTTGCCAAGTCAAGTGGTCGGCTGTGCGATGTGGATCAGTCGCCCATGGAGGCATTTGAATGGCCTCACGCAAATCGTGGAGAAGCATTGGATCTTGTAGAGCAGGGCGAACATGAAGTCCAATGTTCCTTGAAGACAATAGGGCGTTTCTTGCCAGAGGCTGAGTCAATTTGCTTGGTCGAAGTCATGTGACAAATGACTGGCAGG